ATCATTGTCAAGACTTGGGGACATGGGGTTTTAAAAAATGTAACATTTCAAAACTTGGGTTCAAAGTCTTGAAAAAATGTAAGATTTCAGAACTGTGGCTGCCAAGTCTTGAAAAATATTTCCAAATGTGTTCATGTCTTGGAAGACCAAGTCATGAAAGACATAATTCGTGGCAAGGGTCTAATGTTGAAAGTCTCTACCCAAAAGTTTCAAGACTTGGAAAGCCAAGTCTTGAATAGGGCAATCATTGTCAAGTCTTGGGGACATGGAGTTGCAAAAAAGTAACAAACAGTTCAAGACATGGGATACTGCCAAGTCTTGAAAGAAGAATGTAAGATTTCAGAACTGTGGTGGCTGCCAAGTCTTGACAATCATGTTCACTTGTGTTCATGTCTTGGAAGACCAAGTCATGAAAGACATAATTCGTGGCAAGGGTCTGATGTTGAAATTCTTTGCCCCGAAAAGCTTCAAGACTTGGAAAGCCAAGTCTTGAATAGCGCAGTCATTGTCAAGACTTGGGGACATGGTGTTGCAAAAAATGTAACATTTCAAAACTTGGAATACCAAGTCTTGAAAAAAAGACTTCCGAACTTGCTCTGCCAAGTCTTGAAAATATTTCCAGATGTTTTCATGTCTTGGAAGACAAAGGCAGAAAAAGCATAATTCTTACTTATACTGTTGAAATTCTTTGGCCCAAAAGGTTTCAAGAGTTGGAAAGCCAAGTCTTGAATAGCGCAATCATTGTCAAGACTTGGGGAGAGGGAATTGCAAAAAAACATTTCAAAACTTGGGATTCCAAGTCTTGAAAACATGCAAGATTTCAGAACTGTGGCTGCCAAGTCTTGAAAAAATAGTTCCAAATGTGTTCATGTCTTGGAAGACCAAGCCATGAAAGACATGATTCTTGGCAAGGGTCTATAATGTTGAAATGCTTTACCCCGAAAAGTTTCAAGACTTGGAAAGCCAAGTCTTGAATAGGGCAATCATTGTCAAGTCTTGGGGACATGGAGTTGCAAAAAAGTAACAAACAGTTCAAGACATGGGATACTGCCAAGTCTTGAAAGAAGAATGTAAGATTTCAGAACTGTGGTGGCTGCCAAGTCTTGACAATCATGTTCACTTGTGTTCATGTCTTGGAAGACCAAGTCATGCAAGACATAATTCTTACTTGGGTCTAATGTTGAAATTCTTTACCCCGAAAGGTTTCAAGACTTGGGAAGGGAAGTGTGGCAAGTTTCTGACTGTTAGATAATTTCATCCGCATGAGCCAATGCAAAGTCTTAAGAAGCTAAACCATTTTCTCAGGAACCTCATTTCCACACTGTGAGGCCAAATATTGCAATGTACCATTCTTAAGCTGCACAATGGCCCATCTCTACCGCTTTGGAATGCCAAATCTGGATGAATGTTACAATTGGTACCGTTGTCAAGACCTAGGGACATGAGTTGAAAAAATGTCACGTTTCAGAACTTGGGATGCCAAGCCTTGAAAAGCAACCCATCGTGTTCATGCCTTGGATGTCCACAGTCTATTGTTAGCAAAAACTAGCTGCAAACAGTTTCAAGACTGGGGAAGCCAAGTCTTTGAAGATGGCATGATGCCATGAAATTCCACATTGTGTCTTTTGTAAAAGGCATGTGCAAGCATTAAAAAAAAACAAATGGTTTCAAAATTTGAGACGCCAAGTTTTAAGATGGCATCATGTGTAAAGAATCATGCGGGCACAGCCCCACATACGGCAGAAAAAAACACAGGTATAAAGTTTCCGCTTGTTACACAGTTTAGTACATGGTTGTAAAATGTTAGGAGGGGTTAAAAATTGGAAGTGGAAAAATATCATTTCGAACACTTGAAGGCCAAGTATTGCAATATATCATTCTTGGGCTCCAGACTTGGAGTTCCAAGTCGTGAGCACAAGACCAATCTTTACCACTCTGGACACCCAACAGGAAACATAACAAGTATCAAACTACAGAACAGCTTGTTTGCAAGTTTTCAGGCTCGGGGCGGTAGCAAGTGTTGAAACCTATGATTTTTCAAAAGTCGCAAAGACTAACTTCATTGGTGAGCCAAGGCAGAAAACCTTGCAACAAAAACCCAAGTCTTGAGCTTGAAGACTTGGAAGGTCAAATAGTTACCAAGATGGGTCAAGTTAAGTTCCAGACTTGGAATGCCAAGTCCAATCAAATCCAGAACTTGGCGCAATGCATTTGGACAAGTTAAGGGTGAACTCTTACCTTTTTGTTTCAAAACTTGGGATGCCAAGTCTTGAAAAAATATGTTCATGTATTGAAAGACCAAGTCATGAAAGGACAAAAAAGTAATACTGATAAAGCCAAGTTCTGAACGATGATAATGGTAACTGCCATGAATCAACCATATTTGAAAGACCTGGGAGGCGAAGCCATTTGAGACAAACATGAGTGGTTGGACTTGGATTCAGGCCTTGAACTTTTGAAGAACTCATTTGCATCACATCGAGAACAACCTTAAAAGTCTCAGTGATCATGCTTGTCAGTGCAAGACTTGCGAGGCCAAGTCTTGAAGTGCATTTAAGATTCACTATTGTGCCAAAACAATTTCTGGGAGACCAAGCCCAAATAGATTTTGCAGACTTGGAAAATGACCAAGTCTGAATTTCATTTTCAACTTCCACATTTAACAAACATCATCAAGAACAACATCATATTGAAATTGAAGCCCAAGAGAAACAAACAACCGATCATGTTCATCTTGGACATTTGGAACCTTGAACGGAAATCACCAAGAGAGGCATGATGGAATGTCCCTCCAAGAGTATGGTTTACCAAGAAGAGTAACAGTGCCCTGTTGGTACAATGTGTTTTCTGTCAAGAGCAGCTAAAGTTCGACACCTTTTGGCGCAAAGACCATAGTAAGCAAATTCAAACTGTTCCATTGTTACACTAGTCACAACTATGCATATCTAATCATGCCTTCAAATCCATGAGTGAAACCGTGTGTTTTTGTTTAATTTGGTTGAAGGTCTGCCATTTGAAATCCTAATGTCAAATCAGTCGGTATTTAGGTTCCTACGCAGCTCCATTCCTACAACCACATTTGGGAACCTGATGGTTGGAGCATGCAATCCACTAGAAGTGTATGAGTATAGTCATGTATATGCATTGAACACCTGTAGATCACACCAAGCCCCAAAAATGCCACGCACCAGACAAAAAAAAACTATGCATATAGTCATCCAACTCATTTGTGAAAATAAGAATATGAAAAAAATCGCCTTCTAGATTGTAGTTATTCCTGATGAACTCTCACAACTTTGAAAATGAAAGGGAGGTGTATGTATGTACTTGCCAGCTACGAGACAGATTTTTGTTTAACCCTTTTCTTGGAACGGATACGAATTCAATTGCCAAGGCCTGGAATGCCAAGTCTTGGAATTGAAGTTGATGTCTTAATTCAATTTCCAAGGCCTGGAACGCCAAGTCTTGGAATTGAAGTTGATGTCTTAATTCAATTGCCAAGGCCTGGAACGCCAAGTCTTGGAGTTGAATTTTATGCAATTCAATTGCCAAGGCCTGGAATGCCAAGTCTTGGAATTGAAGCCCATTATTTCAGGGGTTATGATGCCCTTGTTCAGGGCTAGTCCCTTGTTCAGGGACATTATCCCCAGCACTCGGAACGCCGAGTCCTGTCCCATCCCCAGCTGAAGGCTGCTGCAACGGCATCACCTGTCCAGGAAACCTGCAGGTACGAATTAATGGTATCACATATATGTTCATGACTTGTGTGCATGGTGGTATCACAAGTGGATGACAACTCGGGGACACTGGATGGTATTTTATGATTTTATGACTCTTGGTGACATTATATTGGTATCATATGTGCATGACCCTTGGCTAAATATATATATATATATTTATATTTATGTTCATGATGCTTGATGGTCATTGGCAGTCTCTGTGTGTGTATGTTTGTGTTTGGTTCAGTAATCATGAAACTTGTTGTTTGAATTACAACATGTTTTTTGTTCTGACCTGCCCCCCCTCCAGGTTAATTTAAGCATGAAAACTGTGTGTATGTGTGTGTGTGTTTGGTTCAGCAATCATGATACTTGTTGTTTGAATTACAAAATGTTTTTTGTTCTGAACTGCCCCCACCCCTCCAGGTTTCAATTTAAGCATGACTACTGTGTGTATGTGTTTTGTTTGGTTCAATAATCATGATACTTGTTGTTGGAATTACAGCATGCCTTTTTGGTTCTGACCTGCCCCCACCCCTCCAGGTTTCAATTTAAGCATGACTACTGTGTGTATGTGTTTTGTTTGGTTCTGTAATCATGATACTTGTTGTTGGAATTACAGCATGTCTTTTTGGTTCTGACCTGCCCCCCCCCCTCCAGGTTTCAATTTTAGCATGAAAACTTATCCCTACAAAATGAAAAGAAACATGTTGGAAAACCATCCCAAAATGGAAAAGCAAAAAAATATTGCATTTTTTCAGCCAAAATGAAACTATCATTTGCAAAAACCAAACTATCACAATCAAAGAACAGAGGTTGAAGTGTGTAGAATCAGTTTTGCCATGAAACACAATCCATGGATTTTGTTTTTGAGGATCAACGTTCACAAACCGTCACCAGCATCTGCTGCCTACGGGAATCGAACACTTTGATGGATCTTCCAACTCCGTTTTTTGCCGGATACTTTCACCATCTTTCATTCCTAGTTCACGGATTCAAACAAGACATTACACTCATCAATGATCAATATGGATCAATATGGATCAATACAACTTCCCGATGGGTCCTTTTCGAATCTGGCGGGATCCCAAGATATCCCAAGCATTGCAAGGGCCATCGAAACATGTTTATCCAAGGTTGGGGAGATTTGAGCATGTCAACCCATGAACCGAAAAATATGTTGGTAACCGAAAAAAAGTCCGACCATTAGGTGATAATTCCAATAATTCCCCTGAAAAATGAAATGCAACTATTTTGAAGACTTTTAGGCTGGTGACCGTCCTCGTTTTGCCGAATGACCGTCTCGACCGCTGCTCTCAACTCTTCCCGCAGCAGCTTTTGTGGTCGCTGCTTCGGTGGGGGCGGGTGAGCCAAGTGGCAGAAACTACATTCTGCATCCGGGCATCCATGGTTGCTCGCAAAAAACACCTTAGTTTGTCTCTGGCTAAGCTAAGGATAAGTACAATGTCATCATTCATACATATACTGTAGATGTCTGCTACATTCTGCGTATATATATATATATATATATTAACTAATGATATATCAATCCCCTTTGAAATTCACCCCAAGGGGTCAGACCCCGCTACTTGTAGCTATAAACCGCGGGGTCTTGCAAAAATCCTACAAAATGAATGGGTGCAAGTAGAAATTTATCCATACAAAATGGTAGGGCTTTGTGCATCAACCAGCTCTTTGCAGCCCCACCACATTCTGTAGGGAGGTATATTCTGCCCGGATGTTTGATTTCTATCTTTTTCTGAGTATGAGTTCTGCTTGCGGGCTTGGACCCTGATCCCCAAAAAAGGCATCATTTTGTAAGAACCTGTTGCTCTGCCATTTCCCTGCGTTTTTCTCAATTGTCTTTAAGGAGCAACCCATCCTTTTTGTAAGGAAATGGGCTCAATGATATGTGCGGCCCGTCTTTTTACAGAGCAAGAAACAGCAAAAAAAAATCATGGGGCTCAAAGAGCACTAAAGGTTTGCTCACACCAGCCAAAATCCCTGCAAAGCATGAATTCCCTACAAAATGACCATTAAAATCAACAGAGGGATTCCTTACAAAATGAACGGCCCCACCCCGGCAAAGTTTTCAAACTGCATTTTGAGATTGCTATATGATAGTGATTTTATGCGTAAATCATCTATTTATATCTATTTTATTGCTCTTACAATATGGCAAGGTGCAGGCAGGCTCCCTACAAAATGGATCAAAATGGCCTCCGAAATGGGCCTTGAGCCCCTTCAAATTAGTACATACAAAATTGCTGGGCTCTTGAAAGTAATTTCCTACAAAATGACCCTAGAAATCGGACTTATATGGGCCTGGAGGCCAGCCATTTCACAGGGAAAATTTCAACGGGGATATATATCATGATAATATCATGATATTACGTTCTTTTTTCCGGATTGGAACATATCAGAAAAACAACAACAAAACACACACACACAAAAAAAAATAACATATCAATACATGAAGGACAGTTACTAGCAGTCAGTCAGAATCAGTTAGTCATGTATGGTCAAATAGTAACGGCAGCCAGTGAGATTGTAATACTTCGCCGAGGCTGATGCTCTGCTGATTCTCTGCCAAAGCTTTAGCCTTCTGTGGTAAATCTATGTTAATATTTGATTGGTAAATCCCCGCATATAGTAATACCTCCAAGATAAACTTGTATTTAACATACATATACAATGACATAGGCGGGAAATGATCTTGAAGTTAGTTGTTTCATATCTTGGAGGAATCACTTTGCATCTATGCTCTGAACAACCAAAAGTTGACCGGCGTGACCTTAAACAATCATCCAGACACACAGGCTTTGCACCTGCCCGTGCGATGTTTCGCCAGCATCTTGGCACCAGGCCCTTGATGGCCTTGATGGCCTTGATGGCCTTGATGGCCTTGATGGCCTTGATCTTGTTCACTGATCTCAGGCTGGTTCTGAGCAACCTGGGCACACTCACCGACCTCCTGGGCGAAGGTAAATCCCGCAGGCCACAGGTCGCCAGGGCTCCACGACTTCTTCCGTTCAACCGGGGGAACATCCTCAAGGGAAAGCCAGCAAGGAAGCCCATCTTGGCAGCAAATGCATGAAGAAATTTCATACAGCACTCTGGAATCTGTAAATCTGTATCGTTTCTTGTTGTGATTCTTGGTTTTGACATCTTACCAGAGTACCGATTCTATAAGATTCTTCTGGTGAACACATCCGACAGAAAGTCTTTAGAGTGGCACTTAAGCTACACACTGTCTCGTCCTCGACAGGGCGAACATCAAGGAATGTGTTCTTCTGCGAAAAGTGAAGAAGCACGTGCTCCGACATTGGCAGGGTCTTGGAATTTCCCTCGAACACGTTAAGACTGGGTTTCCAAGCTCTGCTTAGTTTGATCTCTGAAATGGCTACCAGTTAAGAATGGCCGGGGTGGAACATCAGTGGGCACAGAAAGGCAACCGTAAAACAACCAGACTCTTGGACAAGGGATATTGATGGCTGACCTCTCAATAAGTGACTGGGAAGGCTTTGACTTGCACATGGGCATGGTTTTGAACGGAAATCGGCCGTACCCCCAAATCATCGTCCTTAGACCATGACTTCGTATTGAAACAACCAGGTTTTTTCATCCTCCGGGTCCCCCATGACTTAAGAAGCCCCAAACTTTCGTGCACCAGCCGCCCGGCCCAGCAAGTTGGTGACCACCTTCGCCTTCCGGAGAAGGACCAGCCTTCGGCGATGGGTCGTTGATATGGCGATATCTGTGCCATGGTCAAGTTATATGATATATGATAGGTATATATATATATATATGAATATATATATATATATATATATATATCCGCCGACCCCAGCAAACGGCAGGGGGAGCGCGCCCGAGAAAAAGTTGTAGCCTGCCCTCAAAGGCTCCGCAGCGCCTTTGCCGGCGCTTTTTGCCATCTGCCGGGCCTTTGCCCAGTACTGCGGGCCTTTGCCCAAAACTTTTCTAGTGGCTTCAGAAAGCAACGTTAGGCACTAGCCTGCCCTCAAACCCTCCGCAGCGCCTTGGCCGGCGCTTTGTGGCCATCTGCCGGGCCTTTGCCCAAACTTTTGTAATGGCTTCAGAAAGCAACGTTAGGCACTCGCCTGCCTTCAAACCCTCCGCAGCGCCTTGGCCGGCGCTTTGTGGCCATCTGCCGGGCCTTTGACCAGACTTCTAGTGGCTTCAGAAAGCAACGTTAGGCACTAGCCTGGCTTCAAACCCTCCGCAGCGCCTTGGCGGGCGCTTCGTGGCCAGCTGCCGGGCCTGTGCTCGAGCTTTTCCAGTCTTTTCTAGTGGCTTCAGAAAGCAACGGTAACGTTAGGCACTAGCCTGGCTTCAAACCCTCCGCAGCGCCTTGGCGGGCGCTTCGTGGCCAGCTGCCGGGCCTGTGCTCGAGCTTTTCCAGTCTTTTCTCGTGGCTTCAGAAAGCAACGTTAGGCACTAGCCTGGCTTCAAACCCTCCGCAGCGCCTTGGCGGCTGCCGGGCCTATGCTCAAGCTTTTCCAAACTTTTCTAGTGGCTTCAGAAAGCAACGTTAAGCACTAGGCTGGCTTCAAACCCTCCGCAGCGCCTGGTCGGAAGCTTTGTGGCCAGCTGCCGGGCCTGTGCTCGAGCTTTTCCAGTCTTTTCTAGTCGCTTCAGAAAGCAACGTTAGGCACTAGCCTGGCTTCAAACCCTCCGCAGCGCCTTGGCGGGCGCTTCGTGGCCAGCTGCCGGGCCTGTGCTCGAGCTTTTCCAGTCTTTTCTAGTGGCTTCAGAAAGCAACGTTAGGCACTAGCCTGGCTTCAAACCCTCCGCAGCGCCTGGGCGGGCGCTTTGTGGCCAGCTGCCGGGCCTGTGCTCCAGCTTTTCCAGTCTTTTCTAGTGGCTTCAGAAAGCAACGTTAGGCACTAGCCTGGCTTCAAACCCTCCGCAGCGCCTTGGCGGGCGCTTCGTGGCCAGCTGCCGGGCCTGTGCTCCAGCTTTTCCATCTTTTCTAGTGGCTTCAGAAAGCAACGTTAGGCACTAGCCTGGCTTCAAACCCTCCGCAGCGCCTGGGCGGGCGCTTTGTGGCCAGCTGCCGGGCATGTGCTCGAGCTTTTCCAGTCTTTTCTAGTGGCTTCAGAAAGCAACGTTAGGCACTAGCCTGGCTTCAAACCCTCCGCAGCGCCTTGGCGGGCGCTTCGTGGCCAGCTGCCGGGCCTGTGCTCGAGCTTTTCCAATCTTTTCTCGTGGCTTCAGAAAGCAACGTTAGGCACTAGCCTGGCTTCAAACCATCCGCAGCGCCTGGGCGGGCGCTTCGTGGCCAGCTGCCGGGCCTGTGCTCCAACTTTTCCAGACTTTTCTAGTGGCTTCAGAAAGCAACGTTAGGCACTAGCCTGGCTTCAAACCCTCCGCAGCGCCTGGGCGGGCGCTTTGTGGCCAGCTGCCGGGCCTGTGCTCGAGCTTTTCCAATCTTTTCTAGTGGCTTCAGAAAGCAACGTTAGGCACTAGCCTGGCTTCAAACCCTCCGCAGCGCCTTGGCGGGCGCTTCGCGGCCAGCTGCCGGGCCTGTGCTCGAGCTTTTCCAATCTTTTCTAGTGGCTTCAGAAACGAACGTTAGGCACTAGCCTGGCTTCAAACCATCCGCAGCGCCTTGGCGGGCGCTTCGTGGCCAGCTGCCGGGCCTGTGCTCCAGCTTTTCCAGTCTTTTCTAGTGGCTTCAGAAAGCAACGTTAGGCACTAGCCTGGCTTCAAACCCTCCGCCGCAGCGCCTTGGCGGGCGCTTTGTGGCCAGCTGCCAGGCCTGTGCTCCAGCTTTTCCAGTCTTTTCTAGTCGCTTCAGAAAGCAACGTTAGGCACTAGCCTGGCTTCAAACCCTCCGCAGCGCCTGGGCGGGCGCTTTGTGGCCAGCTGCCGGGCATGTGCTCGAGCTTTTCCAGTCTTTTCTAGTGGCTTCAGAAAGCAACGTTAGGCACTAGCCTGGCTTCAAACCCTCCGCAGCGCCTTGGCGGGCGCTTCGTGGCCAGCTGCCGGGCCTGTGCTCGAGTTACATATTATTTTATATTATATTATATTATATTATATTATATTGTATTATATTATATTATATTATATTATACTATTATATTATATTATACTAAATTATATTAGATTATATTGATTATATTGTATTATATTATATTACATTATATTCTTTTATATTCTATTCCATTATCGTATATTAAATTATATTATATTATATATTATATTATATTATATTATACTATATAAATTATTTTGCTTGCAATTTTTCCGGGGTCGGCGGCAGGGGCGGCAGCCCTTAAATATGATAGGATTTAAATGGGATGAATGGGGTATCGTCATCCAAAGCATACTGGGACTCCTGACAATAATGCTGTGTGTATATATCCTTTATTTTCTCCTAAAACGGATTTCGGATTGATGACCATCCCCCGGCAATGGGGTATATGACCCAACTTTTGGATCGGCCCCACTGGAGCATCATTTTTTCAACACCCTGTGAGATCAACTATAGTAACTATCATCAAAGCATTCACCCTTTTTTGGCAGTGGAGCATGATGTTGATCATATAGTTGAATTATAGTTGATCCAAATGTCATCCAAAATTCATCCAAATCATCATGGTATATGGTCTGGGTTCCATCTGGGCACCCAAGTGGCTGGATTCTCAACAGGGGAGGGGCAGGGGCAATCTCTCTTTTAAAATTCTACATTTGACCCTCATGATGTCATCTTTGGATCTGCAATTTGTGGTCCTAAATACAAATTTCTGACTCATTGCCCTGGAAATTCTTTGCAACTAGACCATACTTACTGAATAGGAACAGTTCAACATGTCTCATCATAAACAGGTACCGTTGGAATCCTGATAGACTTTATAACTAAACCTTCCGTTTGTACCAATAAAGATTGTGTTTTGCCCCAGAATGAACTAGTACTTCAACAAATTCTTTTTGGGGTATTTGGAGGGTCTAGGTATGTTCCTTCTTCCTTTTGTGGGGATGTCATTTTGGCCGTATGGGATCCTGGTTTCGGTTTTCCCCAGCGGAAAGGGTCACCACTCATGGACGATTTTCCTTTTCGAAAGTGTAGCAGTCTTCCCTGTTTATCTTCTCTTACGATATCTTAGGTATACACACGTACGTATATTATAATATTCTCATCACAGAGATATTAACAGTTAGTAACATCTATTGCGCAAATAAACTCAAGCAATCAGACAATCAAAGGAAACTCCTCAAAACATTAAAAATTGGGATACGATTTACAGTCTACCATTCGCATCCACTTCACGGTCACCCAGCGACGCCTGGCTAGGCGTAGGCGTAGCAGTCACCCAAGTGGAACGAGCACGCCTCAGCTGGCTGTAGGCCACCACCATTTGGGATACTCCTACTGCGGATGAATACCGTCTTGACCATCCGTTACCCAGAAAAATGGCGTTTGACTTTTCCAGAGTTATAGTGTTTTAATATTCTTTAACATACTTTAATCGCTTTCGGAGGGTCTAGGTGGATGCGGCTGCCCTGTTGAGCTTGACCAGGAAAGTATCAAACAACACACTGATCGAAATCAATCGCTGGGTCAACTGCATCTTCTTTTGCTTCAACCACGAAAAAACATGTAATTACTTTATACTTGCTGGATCATTCCCATAGTTTGCTATGACATAATCATCAACCAACAGGGGTTTAGCAGCCACTGCTCACATATTCACATAAACAAGAACTATCTGGTGCCCACATCACCTCGAACAAAGAGCTTTTGATCCTTCAAAAATTGGGTCTGAAAATAGGACAGCCCCATTTTTTAATATTCATCACTTTCCCCAAAAAAATACGGCTATCCCTCACTACTTTCAGACAAACCCTGAATTTTGGGCGGCCACCTTCATGGAGACATCCCATTCGCGTTTGCTTCTCCCGGACATCATCCCCATCATTCAATGATTCAAAATGCTGTGAATTACCATGTTCTGTGAATTACCATGTTTTACCCCAGAATCACCCATAATCTCTGGTTGGTGGTTTCAACCCCTCTGAAAAATATGAAAGTCAGTTGGGATGATTATGCCCAATATATGGAAAGTCATAAAATTCATGTTCCAAACCACCAACCAGATCTTAATACCTTCACGATATTTTTTGAAGGGTCTTCGGGGCCTACACATCCCCCATGATTTGCTGCTCATCCCGTTTTCTGTGCGGCCGCACAGTTCCAGATCGCCCATGGAGCCTGGCTGCTGATTGAGATCCCAATGAATGGCTGGCAAGTTGTGACTGCAGCGCGAAGTTTTGGTGTTTTTTGGGCTAGTTTAAAGGAGGTCAGTATATATTCTTCAACTTGCAATGATCTGTAATCATTCAATAACATGAAGACCATATAGGGATGATGTCCAAAATCTGAACCAACATCTGTGGTGAGGTCAATGGAGTCGCTGCAATTTACCCAAACCCTATTGTATCCATCTAAGTGTTGGCATATCAAGTTACTCATATAAAGTTGCCTCATATATATATATATATATATATACAGTATATGTATATGGCATAATGTGTATCCATACAGGAAGGGGGCCCATAGTTAGCTAAGTTGACTTATAAGTATGGATATAACTATAGTCGGATGCGTTTATAAGCCAACTTATAGCTCGGGGGGCCTTCCTGTATATACATATTATATATGTTATCCCACCATACCACAATCATTATAAATATATCATATAGAATATAGCATATACATATATCCCACCATAATATATATATATATATATATATCATGTATCCCCTCATAATATCCTATATATATATATATTATGTAATTATATATCATATATGTAGCTCGTAAACCTCCTCCGAAGCTCCCTTGGCGCGCCTCCCTTGGCGCGACCCGGTGACGCAAGGGCCCGAGGCTCCTGGACAGGTATGTCTGGCTGGGGTATATTCCAAATGGTTATGGCCGGCAAATAATAGCTGGTTGGTGGTTGACCTACCCCTGCCCCTCTGAAAAATATGAAAGTCAATGGGAAGGATTATCCCATATATGATGGAAAATACAAAATGTTTGAAACCACCAACCAGATAGGGAAAAGGATGGTAAAAAAATGGTAGCATAGGCAAATCATAAGCAAATAATAGGCAAAACATGATGATATCGAGGCCCTCTATTTCATACAAAGCTGTATCATACTATAGGGGTTTATAATGCAATATGATGATGAACCAGTGGATGGAATCGAGTAGCCTATTCTTAAACAAATCCAGCACTGCCAGCACATAGTTATGATGCTTACAGTAATACATGATAATACATGATACTGTAATAGTTTTATGATTAGTAATGAATGTATACAATGAAAACATGTACAATTGGACTTTGCAGTATTTTGTATCCCCATTCAACGCCGCAAACCTGTGGCTTCCCCTTTCAAATAGTGCTGGCTCAGAGCCTGAAGCCCCTTAAGCCATCTAAAGCTTGTGATATCGCTAGGGGTCAGCGATCAAACCCAGAAACACATCAAGCATGGTAGAGCATACCAAGCATATCAGCCTTCCATATCTTTTCTATCGCCGTGTCCATCTACTGGAAAGTACTATATCTACATTACTCACGGATCCTAACTGGACGGTATCATACAGTAATCACTATATCGATCATACATTACTGGTATCACTTTTGTTGGTATCATAGTACATCACTCACAGCTGGCTTCGATCCATACTGGTACTTATCCCGTGCCGGCCTCGCAGTATGTGCCTGTCAAGCATCCTGCCGAGATCTGACCTGGCAGGAACTCGTAGGATCTGGGTCCATGGGTCATTAAAAACTCCAGAACCCCATCTGGTTGGTGGTTTTAACCATCTTGAAAAATATGAAAGTCAATGGGAATGAATTCCATATATTATGGAACATAAAAAATGTTTGAAACCACCAACCAGCCATCATCATTGGCCATGTCCCCATTTTCCCTTTGGAACTAAGGGTTAGTTCACCCAGCACGCTCCATTTCTTCGTTCGTGTACTCCCCTATGACCATACCTGGGATGACAACCCCGTCCATCAACATATCCGGTCACTGAACAGGCTATAACAAAATGGACATTGGTTGTTTGAAGCCATGACTTACTTGAGCCAAACCACACCAAAACCCACATAAAATGAGGATGATGTTTACTCAATAGCCATTTCGGGACCAACTGGAGGTGCTGTACCATAGGAGGCCGTATTTTTGAGCTATCTATCTATATATATATGAGCTATACATATGTATATATATATATATATATGTATGTATGTGTATGTTTATGTATATATATTCCCCTTGCACAGATCAAGCATATATAATAGGAACTTTCAATTTACCCAGCTCCAACCGGCTATGACCGGCTCATCTGGGTAGCCGGCTCGGCCGGTCGCTTGGCGCCCGTTCCTCCAAGAAGCGGCGCCTGGAGCGTCGTTGATTTCAGCCATTTCACCAGCAATGGCAACATGAGGAGTATCAGATCATTGATGCATGTAGCTATCCATGATATATTGAAATCTGTGGCAGGATGTAATCTTTGAATAAGTGGGACTCTAAACAAATATAAGGGCTGTGTAATATAAGGACTGTGTTTTAATATGTGTAGAATGGGGTTTCAAAGGGATATAAACCAAGAATATCCGATTTTGCGCATGGCTATTGGTGTATACCCCGATTGTACAGACTTAAATAGGCACAGTGACAACTGACCAGTGGATTTAGAGTTACCCTCTTTTCAGACAAACCCATGTTAATCTTAGGTTATCCACTTTGGAATAGCTCAAAATCCCAAAAACCACCAAACTGGATGGATCGCGGATCGCTTACCGTCCATTAAAAAAAACCAGGGTCCATGTTTTCCATGGCAAAACCATGGCATTTCCAGCGCAACCAGCCCCGCCTGGAATCCTTCTCCGCAAAGGCTTTGCGCATCCGCTGGGCGCAGGCATCAGCCCTTAGGAACGGGCATCTTTCAATGGGTTGTATGGGATATATGTATATATGTAAGAGAATATGTGGATATATGTGGATTATCTATCAGACCAGAATATATTAGTATATAGTATATACGGGAATATCTGGATTCTGTATGGGAATATATAGGAATATATGCAATGAGATGCAACTAGCTCATGCACACCTCCACGGGTCAACATCCAGCTGCACTTATTTGCACAAAAAAAAAACGTGCCACCAAGTTGAGTTTTCGAAGGACAGAACTGGGATGTCACCCGTAAACATACGAATGGCTCCATGCTCGTTTGGATATACACACATGGGGACACATCTTCACGGAAAGAACATGTTTGAAACACCCAAACCATGCAGAATGACATGTTGATGTTGTTGATCATTGTTGATCCCTGGCTTCAAGTCATCGAACCCTTAACATGTTCACTTAACAACTTAACAAACCCAAGAATAAGCTGCACTTGGATCCCTAGAAATGGTCCGCTGAAGCCCACAGCAGCCACAGCCATGCAAGCGAAGTTCCCACGTGGTGAGGGTCGAAATGTCTTGGAGGTGGCATGGAAACTGCGAGGACAAGGACAAGACCCGACAACTTGGATCATGGTGAGGGGGATCATAGTTTACACACCTTTGGGTGTATTTGATGCTTGATCCAGAATCACACACACGTGTGTATATATATATAATTTATCCTATAAGAACTAGATATGTATATATATATATATGTATATTATATATATACAGTGTAGGTAACACATGCATGATCCAGGTCAGTCATAGGGATAACTGATTCACAAACCATGGTTTTTAAGCCAGTTGTTCATGGGAAATTGATGGATCGATGGACATTGTCACTTACCGAACTTCAGCTGGGCATGGTTTCATCATGGCCGAGCTTTGGTACCCTGTTTCTTTGGGTTTAAGCTGATCAATGTAAGTAAGTAAGTAAGTAAGTATGCATGCATGCATGCATGTATGTATGTACAGTATGTACAGTATGTATGTATGTATGTATGTATGTCGGTATGTGTGTATGTGTGTATGTGTGTATGTCTGTATGTGTGTATGTATATATATATATATATTTAAAGATCTATTTTTTGAAAAACACATGTATATTTGTATGTATATATATATATGATTATACACACACATATATATATATATAGATATGTAAAATCCTAATTTCTAGCAGCAGATGATTCGCACTTACTTATCAAGTCACTTGACCCAGAATTCTTGGGAGAAAAATGAGAAAAAAAGAATCCCTCCCCATTCGATCCTTCACATCTCTTTCTGGTGAGCCATCTAGTTGCTTGACCCATCCCAGCCGACCTTTTGTCGCTTTTCCGCAAGTTGGGACGAAAGGTGCAGCCCTCAACGCGACAGGAAACCGGCTCGGGAGGCCAGGAATGGCCAGCCATTTCTGCAGTGATCTGGGACATTTTAAGCATGGCATAGCATCGGTTTGTGGAGATACTACAGGCACCGTGCGGGGATCAGCTGTCAACCCTTTTTTACCTGGATAACCACTGGATAACCACTGGATAACCACTGGATAACCACTGGATAACCACTGGATAACCACTGGATAACCACTGGATAATCCTGAAATGGGGTTGGAATCACCTGAACCTCGCTTGCAACTTTTTCCTCGTCGCTTCGCCACAGACCTTCGTCTTCCGCCACCCCACCGCACCGCGGTAAACTGCGATAGCTGATGATGCATGTCAGGCCTTTATGAGGAGGCACAATCCAACCGTCAACGATCGTCAACTAGTGACGCTCTACCAAAATGTTGAGGAATCCGAAGCACATTTCAACATCTCTCAGACCAGCTCCAAAGACAAGCTGGTTTATGGATGGCTCAGCAAATCAAGTGATATGAGGCGACTTGGTATTGCGGACCAGAAGTCAAGTACCAGACCTTGTCCTGAGCAGGCAGAAACGAGATCAAGCATCTCTGACGATGGCGCTGCAGGACGGGTCAAGTATTCACGCCTTTCATGGCAAACAAAAAAAAATATGATATTAATATGGAAATCCATCAGTTTAATATAGCAGAGGTTTGAATACCGCACCTTTGGGGGAAAAAACGCACACAGTCGCTGTCTTGGTACGCACAAAGTCATCAGCTGAAGCCATCAATGACCTATAAGGTCCTGCACAAAATCAGTGGATGTATTGGCACTGCCACCGTTCATGCTCTTGGCAGTCACTAAAACCATAGTGCCATAGACCTTTCGTAAAGGATGATCTCTGAAGTTTGTGGTTCCAGAAGTGGGCTCTGCTTTTCAGATAATCGTTGGATTCTTTCCACATGTCTGTTTAACAACCCCATCTACTAGTACTGGATAGTACTGGAATGGCCGTTTTCCATTGTTTTGAAAATTATGATCACATTCACGACTGATTCTTTCCAATTTTCTTGAAGACGCTTTCCCTAATCACCCCAAGTCGTGGTCCGCCAATCTGCAGTGACAGGAGTTGCTTCCCAGCATCCAGCACCTTTCCGCTGAATCTGCAGATCTTCATCACAGCCTCCTCCACCTCCCTCCAGCTTTCACCGTTGCCCTGCCAGCGGAGGCTGATGTCGTAGCCGCCCTGGGAAGCGAAGCGGCGAGGCGAAGTCACGGAGACTGGTTGACTTGGGACATTGGAAGTACGGCCATTGGGATCGTGTTTTTTTTTCCAGATTTTGGGACCTATTTAACACATGACAACAAATTCCATGTTTTCACAAGTTGAATCTAGATATTCTGGTTGGTGGTTGAGCCCTACCCCTCTGCAAAATATGAGTTCGTCAGTTGGGATCATTATTCCCAATATATGGAAAAAAACATGTTCCAAACCACCAACCAGTATTAGACTCTCAACTGACTCTCAACGGCCTGGTATTCACCATCATCCTCACTGGTGGCAATCCATTGCACTGGGCCGCCGTCCACTGAGCATTGCAAGCCGTGCTCGGCAAGTTGCTGGCAAAATAGGCCCTGGGCGACTCGGCTCAGAGATGTCATGGGGATAAAATCCACGTGCCATGGCCAAGTTGCATGGTATACGCGGTATGGTCATCGATCACATCGATCCCTGGATTTATGGAATGATGACCATCCCCTAAGATGAGTGGCATGAGTGTAGTTTTTTGACGAACAAAAAAGAACGCAGAAACAGCAAAGTATAATCAGACGAGATCATAGAACAAACAACAAATAATGAACACATTGTAGCATAAACAAGCTGCGGTGGTCCTAAGTGCGAGTGGAAAGCCCCGCTCCCTGTGCTGACGATTCTCTAATTACACGGGCCAAGGGCCGACCACCATAGACGGAAAGCCTCCTAGTCGCAAGCATCGCTCCCAGCTGGTTCTTGATTTCAACACCCCCGAAAGTATGATAAATAGAATTAAATCGATAGTCAATTGGGATCATCATCCCAAATAAGGAGAAACAAAACACATGGTTGAAAACACACCAATATCAAAAAGCAACACCAAAGTTGCGCAAACCTACTACCTGACCCCCTAATTCTCCCACCAAGCTACAAACAAATCCATCGTATTTTGATCCTCGAGGTCGTGCTTGGGGTGTTCGAAGTGAATGTACGCTCCGTTGACCAGCAAGACACCTGCTAGCTGCGAAAGAATCACAGATCTGGGATCCGAAAACCACCTGGCTATCAGGGGCTCCCACTATATGTCACTGGCTGGTGAAAACCGAAGAAGTCCTTTGGTTTGAAGTTGCAGAGACAGCTTTGTCCGATTGTGCTCTAAAGCTCTCAGAAGAGATTCAAGACTTCCTTTCCCGACAAATCAATATGAACATGTTTCCAACAATTCCACTTCTAACTTCAAACTTTCGATCCCAAAGCTTTCCTATCCTGGGAATTCCGAAACATCCCAAACGATGACTGGCTTGGTGCCAGTACACTCTATAAATGGCGCCTTCGGGCGCCAAGACCTGCCGAAGTTGCATCAAGGTTCCCAAGGGATCTGCCAGGTGAAACAGCGTCCAGGAGCAGAAAATCACGTCGAAGCGCCGTCCTCGGGGTCCGGGGAACCAGGGCCTTGAAGCCAAGGCTTTCAAGGCCTTGGGAAAACCAGCAGATGGCTGGTTTCTTATGAGAGATTCCCACGGTGGGTTATGAAAATATGTGAAAGTTCATGAAAAGTCCGCAATATGTTGGGTTTCCCAACCGTTCAACTCCACTATATCCAACAATATCCAACATGTTTGTTTCAACTGGGTGTTCCCAACTTTTGGACCGTCGCCCTGAAACACCACGGCCTAAAGCGTCCAGTGGCCCTCGCGAACAAAGTCTGCAGCTTCGCAGGAAACCAGGTCCTGCGCCACCAAAAAGACGCCTGGAAAGTCTGCAATTAGGATGGTAGTTCGATGATGTCGATGATGTGTTCCCCCTAGTTTCCAGGTTTAAAACTGTTTGGCACCTTTTTTGGAGTTACTATATAATCGGGTGTAATGGGAAATACTAGTATATAATAGTTTAGTATAGATGATATTTCAATGGGAGGTATTACTCTCCCTCCAACCATGAGTTGGGGGGGTGAAAGGCTATTTTACTTGCAACACAGGGTCGGTTTTCAGGGTCTATGGAATCGTTGGGGGCATTGTAAATGATGGAACCTGGTAAATCCTGATTTTGAGACAATCCCATATCAGAAACTTTTTGGTTACATAAATGTATTTAACTTATATATTATATATATATACATGTATAAATGCTGTACCTATCACTACTATTATTATTACTATTATTATTATATATATACATGCTGTACCTATCACTATTATTATTAAATATGTGAATATATATAATATACGTATATAAATATATATATATATATTATATCAGTTGTATGTCAATATTATCCCATGATATGCCCAAGATTTTTCGCTACTTGAAAACATTTTTTGGCTTTTCGGCTCCTCCAGTGGAAAGCCCTGGTAGATCTTCACCTCCAACCCCGGACACCCCGAGCTCTCGGCATCCAATGACCTCACCTGAGATGTCGGGTCACCCGAAAAAAATGGGGAAATGGATCACCATGGATCACCATAGCCAAAGAAAAACAAGATATACATGGGATATACATGGGATATTGACTATAAATACTATAAACATCTATAAACCAGAAATTCTGGGCAAATTCCATTCATTAGGGCCGTTTTCACCAGTGGGTCAGTGGGATGGTCCTCCAAGTGATAAAACATATGAAACAGCATTATGAAACCATCACCTCTATGGGGGGTGGTGCCCTGCAAAATAACATATATCCAATCACGGACATCTTAATTGGAAACGTGACGATCAACCTCAAGTCTTTTTTGGGTACAGACCATTTTCAGGCCCATAGTGAAACACCCATGAATCATGGGACTTTGATCTTGTTTGGTAGGGGGTCCCACTTTGCATTTTAGAGAGGTAGGTTACATAGGCTCAAATCATCAATGTGTTGAAGGATTTACTTACTTAATGTTTGCAAAATGAAAAAAAACTGAAAGTCCAGAATAATCCCTTCCACCAACATCGAACATCACCCATAAACCATGGTTTGCTAGGACATTATACATACATATTTGGGACCCTTTTTTATATAGAGGCTTTTTCCAATATTTATTTGGGAACATCTCAAAGAAATCGAAGTACATGGTATGCCAATCCACCCCTTACATTCCCCAACCATATCCTCAATCCATGCCAATCCAGGCCACGTGTGGTCGCAGTTCCTCCGCACAGCGGTCCAGGATGCGTTCCGCCGTCAGACCACGGAGGTAGCAGGGCACCTGACTGAGGCGAGACGGGATGGGACGTGTATGGCGGTGGCGAAGGTATTAGCATCATAGGCTAACATGACCATCTAGTGTATATAGAATGTGTATATATAAATATATATACACATAATTCTAGTCATGTAGTTCTACTATAACTAGAACTCATAGAACTCTATGCGTCCACATATATATGTTCTACTCATAGATTTATAATGAGTCGCACGTAGTCATATCTTAATCCATATCATTAGTGCATGGTGCTCGTAGATTTGCGGACAAAGAAACACCTATTCATGTAGAGCACGCTTGATACGTTCCATGGCCCAAACATGGTAGACGGGGTATGGTTATAATTATGGATAAACATGAACAACATGACAACATATGATAACATATTATAAAATAGCCTCTGCTACTGGAGTTGTGACCACCCATGCCAGGTAGCAGCCTCAGCTTTTTCAGGAACCACCACAACCCCCCCACTGGGCACTCCTCGCTCTCGTGCGGTGTGTAAGATCTGCAGCAGTTGACCACCACAACCGCAGCCGGCATCTAGGACGCACAGAGGCGTGGCGTCTCCTCCAACATGGCTGGTCAGCCAAGCAAAGCAGCTTTGAAGATGTAGCCTCCAGTAAACAAACATGACTATCTGGTTGGTGGTATACCTACCCCTCTGAAAAAAATGAAAGTCAGTTAGGATTATTATTCCATATGGAAAGTCATAAAATTCCATGGTTCCAAACCACCAACCAGCTATGGAAAGTGGCCCATCTATGATTTACCCTCTGGTAAACAAACATAGCTATTGAAAATGGCCATTTGTAGTGGATTTTCCCGTTAAAAATTGTGATTTTCCATAGTTATGTAAACGTTTACCAGGCCGGGTACCTGAGAAAAATGGTCAAGTCGCCATGTCTGGGCCTAGCTGGGCCACTGGAACCATTTCGCTAGGTCAAGTCGCTGGGGAACGATTGTGGGTTGTAGGTTTCTCCCCGTATGGTTGTTGCTGGGTACAGTTAATAAGTATATAATTGTGTTTGTTGCTCTTATCCCACTTTTTGTGAGTGAATATCCCTACGTATATCTAGTGGCCAGAACCCCAATCTATTCCGAACAAAATCTCAACATCATGACATCATGTCCATTTTTCGGCAAATTCCTCCCCCAAAAAACGAACATGCTTTTTCCAACATCCAGCCACCTGTCTCTCCCCAGCCTTCAGCACCTTCCGAAACTCGCTTCCGGTCCATCCTCTCCATTGCGTTCTCCGCAGCATTGCCAAAGGCGCCGAAGACATAGTTGGCACTGGAGTCCTGCACCCAGCCGTCGTGGCCCTTGGCGCTCTGGAACCTCACAAGTCACCGCAATGGGTGGCATTTCATGGGAATATTCAGTAATCCATACAGAATATAAGCCCGAAACACCAATTATACAGATGTTTGTGATTATTATTAGGGTTGTACATTCCGTATATATGGGGTGACTTCCTAGCTTATAGAACTCGGAAAGGGTTTTAAATAAGTGTATGAATGTTCTATATGGATGGTGGGAATGGCAATGATCGTTAATGGGATAATACCAATATCAATGGGAACATCATGGAGGATCATTCATCCCACGGTCCTCGTAACTGGTTAGTGACCATAGTAGCCATGTGGAATACATGGACTTCAAACATGGGAGAACCCACTGAATGGGGACTGACATGGAGTTGGAGCCTTCAATCATCGACTGGAGGCTAAGGGGGCGGGGTACAATCTGAATCCTACCTTGGAATGATAGATCGTCATCAGGCGTAAATCAATCAATCTCTATTCCTCATGATTTTCACAACTAATTAATCAGTTGCTTAACAACTGCAGAAACAACTTAATTTTAGTTACCGACAATAACGTGGCAGAGGTTGAGCCATCCATCATCCATTAAAAACCACCTATCAGATGGGTTCATCCTCCCATCGACAGGATGCCACGCGAAGTAACTACGAGTAAGTGCAACCACCAACCAGCGACAGGTTGGATGTGGAAAATGAATTCTGAAGTAAAATGGTCCAAATATGTGTAATTTCCCCGATTAACCCATGTTTTCTGGTGGGTGTTTAATAGTCTCTCGCAACCCACAGGGCAAATGACAACGCTTGCATTTTTATCCCGGTTGGTAGTTCACACCCAAAGGATGCTAAAGGACATGGGATACTGCAATGAACTTCGGAAAAACACACAGTTCGTAGATGACAACAGCCAGCGTCATTCACCCGTTAACTGGAATACACATTCCCGAGAATTGCTTCATAGCACAAGGTACAAAAAAAACGTAAATCCACCCACCATTTTGCACATAACTCGTTGTGTTTCCTCTTCGTTCACCGTAAATCAATGCGCTCTTACTCTTCTTACAGCTCTTCTTACAGTATGCATGTTGGTCGATTCAAATGCTTAATTAATTGCTTAGTTAAGACACATACCCACCCGCGAAAGTCCAATAACTTTTGCCTGAAATAAGTCCCTTCTTGCTCTTGTTGGTCAAACCGATTTCATAAATCATCAAACCCGAGCCACTTCTCAGCCACTGCTTGACGCACGTCGGCAGGACGCTGAGAATACATGGCCAAGGCACGTTGAGTTCATGGAGGGTTGAATATTTATCTTGCCAAAAATGAGGAGTGAAGTGCTTTGAATGAGAGCTTACAAAGGAATGATCAAAACATGAAGCAAGACTAATCCAAAATGGGATTTCACAATGAAACAAGAAACCTAATTAACAAATGCTTGTGTTTTGAATAGCTTAGGTTGGTATCAGGTGTTGACCAATATCCATACAAACATATAACAACGAACATTGTTACAGGATACAGGAAGCTTTTTAAAACATCAATGAACGGTGTGTGTAAGTGTAAGGGACTTCTGCATTGGTTCTGACGTGTTGTGTCAAAGGCGCAGTCTTTGGGACGTGCTTCGGTAAAACACAAGGAGGCCGGTTGTTTTTGACTCAACTCACGTTTGTGTATCAACAATAACTAACATACGGGGGTGCCAGGCTTAATCGATATATATATATATATATTATATATATACACATAATATTACTCCACTTCAAAACCACTCGGGTTTGTTAATTTATTGGAGGTATAACATGGTTTTTCATCAAAATCTACAGCGATCATCAAATCATAGCAACCAACTGCTATGGGTGAATCTCCACGGTATCTCAGCGTGGTATCCAATGATCTCCTTATATCACCGCTCTATCCCAATAAATGGACAAGGGAAAAAGATTAATTGGTAAATGGGGATATTGTCCATATATATATATATTAATTGTATCCAATTATGTCCATATAACATCGATATGGACAATGTCGTGATTTGCTCAATGATCTAAAAAAATTGCCTTTGACACAGTTTTGCATATCGATGTGTATTTACAGTACATGATTTTAACTTTAGCTGGTTGGTGGTGTCAACCCCTCTGAAAACTATGAAAGTCAGTTGGGATGATGACATTCCCAATATATGGAAAAAATGTTCCAAACCACCAACCAGCAATTATGTACTGGTAATCCCCATAAACAGTAGATTTATATGTGATTTATATCCCCATAAACACCCTCTGGTAGTTAAACGTAGATGGGCAACTAATCATGCCAAACTGATCCGTTCCCGAAGGATTGCTGATTTCGATGGATCAATTCCCCGTTCTTAGTGCTGGCCATAAATTCTATGCTACCATCAAAAATCTAGTAAATCCCATGGAAATCAGCCAAAACAAAACACATAAAACAGCAACAAATCCCAAATCTTCACCATTTCTTGTTGGTTTCCTTAGATCTTTCACGGCGATTCACAGGGCTTCCACACCGACATCTCCTTGTCAAGGCGATGCTGTTCTTGCACCGCGGCGTTCTCCTGACGGCTGCGACGTGTCATAGTATTAAGAAAACACATAACTTACATGTTGTGTGATATATTCATATATATAACCATATATATATATATATGTATATATATATATGTACATCATATATGCATATACATGTGATAAACCTAGTTGGAACCAATATTAATGCAAGTCCATCTACTGTAATATGCACCATCAACACGATCTATGATATACCATCCGGTAGCTAAACAGTTTGATGATTTACCGATATTTTAATGGTAACTGTCCTTAGCTATGATAAATTACCAGAGACAACGGATCAGGCCTCACGACACGCTTGCCGGGCCGTAGCCTGCGTGTAGAGTCTCAAGCCACCTGAGGCTAAAGAGCACACAACAGTCACGGCTTCAGAACCATCAAGCAATGTATATTAAACAACATAAAATATATGTAAATATATATTTAATATATATATATATGTATATATATATATATCTATGTGTATATATATATATATGCATGCAAATAGAATCTGCTAGTTCTGAACATCTAAACAGAGGATGTGGCTAGGCTATATACGAACATGACGTGATTTGCCAATATAAATTGAACAGTATTTACATAGTGCATTGATGTGAATTAAAAAACACATGGTACACAACAAATACATGATTTACTGTATGCACTATGCGTTTGAATGGTGCATAACTGCATAACTAGCAGTTCATGTTCATATCAGTTCATTGTTCACAACAAGCAGGTTATGATTGATTTACATGTATGATTCAAGGGATAGTCAATTATCACTGTATCACAAACAAATCAAGTGATGAAAATAGATAAACCAAGACATAATATGTGGGTTGTACCATGGTTTAACCCCACAGTACATAAATTCGTGCGGTACTAACAAGGGATAACATTCAGTTTCAACACAGCGGGAGTAGGGATGTAAATTTTCATTGGCCAGTCCACTTTGGCAATGGAAGCGAACTGGTTGGTCATTGGCGAAACATGGGAAACTATAACCCATGAAACATGCCCAGTTCTGTTTGGTGATATCATTCAGGATCCAAATACCCTCTGGTAAACTAACAGTTTGCTATTGAAAATGGCCATAGAAATAGTGAATTTACCCATGAATAGCATGGTGATGTTCCATAGTTTTTTGTTAACGTTTACCAGAGGGTATATACCATGATATATATATATAATATAGCCGATATTATCATATTATAATATATAGTTTATTAATATAATCCATATAATCCATAGATGATTCATTTACCATAAAATTTGGGACCATCTTAATCATAACCAGTTTTTAGGAACACTCCATGGCCCACGGCCTCTTTTGCAGCTTCCAGGGTTCAGCCATCCAGGGTGAGACATGTTTTGACTTATGACTTCGAGGGCTTGGCCCAACATCGGAAGTCTGAATTCGTCTGAATTTTGTTGGCTCCACAGTCCAAAGGCATCCCATCTGGCCATTTTTTGGCAGCAACCATGCAAGGTGCTCCTAATCCTCAGCTGAGTGGCTTCAGAACTCATGTAAATTAGTTGAGTTTATGGTTGATATCTCATGAATTCTCATGAATTCTCACGATATATCGAACTGGTTCATGGTGGGTTTCAACCAAACCAGCTAACCAACAGCCAGATCACCGGGGTCACTACATTGTGAATGTCTTGTGGTGACTGTGGGATTTCACCAGCAAATCATCACCACTCACCACATATGGGTGGTAAAAACCATCCCCAAATGCTGGGTTTAGGGTTTCCCACAGACCATTTATGAGGATTTCACGTGTGAAAACAAATGGCTACTTCTCGACATTGTGTGGACCCCAAGCCAGCACGCAATGGACTATGTGAAACCACCACGGCCTATCGCAAGGTTTCACTATGCCTCACGACAACCACATAGCGCAACAGGTCCAGAAACTCCTGACGTCATGGCAAACTCTGGGATCTTCTTAGTGACATGGATGCCCAGCTATTATATAATCATATATATGTGTGTTTTTCTACATGGGGGACCTCCAAACCATGGAACTCCTTACCACAAAAGACGAGTTGAAAACGCCCAAAAGGATGGAACAGTGATTCACCAGATTTTGAGGAATGGATTTTGCTGTTCTATCTTTTCCGGGGTTGTTTTTTTTGTCAGTTTGGAAACCAACGCTTAGCCCCCATTGGGGCCTTCTCGGATGCCGAGTCCGGTCCCTGCCTGAGGTCCCACATAGAACAAGGAGTCCACATCATATTTCTGCGCCAAACGCAGGCACCGCTCCTACCCATAGCGACCAGCCCGGCAAGCTGAGGAGAACCACAGCTCTGGATGCCCACATAGGAAAATGGTCATTCAACAATGGCTTTAAGGGAGCACTAATGACTACTGTAATATAGCACAATACTAGTATAGTATTATAGTAAAATACTATTTTCAGCCTAACCCATTTGAACAGTATTGAACATATCCACTGATGTTGCAGTGATAGAAAGCAGCGGTTCAATACCAACAATAGTGATAACTAGCTATATTGGGGGGTTATGGTCGATCTTGCATCCATGTTTAATACAAAGAAGCAAGCTCACCGACCTCCGAGAGTGCAAGGCTGGGTTCGATTCGAAGACTGTTGACCAGGGTGCAAACCATGGTCTGCAGCGGAGCCATCACGGCATGGGACAGGACTGGATGATGTCTCTCTGGTCTGTCCGGTACAACTATGGCAATCCCCAAAAAAAATAGAACATCAATTTGTCACTAGTCTAGTAGATGTTTACGCTTCTATCATTTCTTTATTGTTTGGGGGGTAACCATATATTAGGATACGTCTTGGGGATCTCAAGCAACAAAATAGGGATATCATCTATCTATCCAGCTGGTTGTTGATACTCACAATCAGGCGGTAGCATCTGCTGAAGCAGCTAATATTTGGGCTGCCCCAAAGCCAAACTCAGGCAATCCCAAAAAGGTTCAAACTCATGGCTTAAGACTTCGTGTATTTTGAGTCTCAAAGTCCCAAACATTTGAACTGTAATATATATATATAATTATATATATGTATTGCAAATGTTATCAGTTGATGCACATATAACCTTTAAAAGTTGTGGGTTGGCAACCAACACATGAATTTAAGTATCAAAACTTGGTATCTCACCATCAACGATGAGGACTTTGGCATTAAACATATGCACTGTATATTCAATTAAAAAATCAAAACTCTCCGAGATGGACATATCTGGTTTTGTATGAAAATGGCTGGCGTAAACTCCCCCAAATTAGCACAACTCTCCTGGTCTAAGTGTTGAGAGCCCCACCGCAGCATCTTCGATAGGCAACTGCTTCCCACCAGACACCTTCGGCGCAACGATTTTCTTGGGATGAGTCCCTGTTGTGGAACCATCTGCAGGGACGTCACAATGAGGCCGTATTATTGATGTGATATATATTAAAAAAAAAAAAACGTACAGTACTAGCGTTTCTTCCGTCCCTGGCCCTTCCCAGTCGGCCTCTTGAAAATCGGCTAAGCAGGACTCCACAAATGAGCCTGTACTGAGCCTGTAGGTTGTGCAAGGGGTTTTCGGATGTTTTCGGGAGATTTTGGCCATCAAAATGGGAGATTGAAGCAGGAAAGATGCACTCCAAAGTTCATATGAAGAATTGCGAAGCCAAGGATTTGCGTTTTGTAAATTCAGAGGACATGACAAACGATTCTGTTTTCCCGGACCTTAACATTTGACCCATAAAATAGCCATCATAGTATAGTCATGGTTCAAGAAATGGAACCCAGAAGCATCGCAGTCTCGTTCATGGGAATTTACTTCACACCTTGATGAATTTTGCCAATCTCTTCCATAAGTAGCAACAACTGTTGCTATTTGTTGACAGAAAAAAACTCGTGACCAATCTCCCATTTGTTGAACATAAAGCACTCATTTCTCCCTGCAAAAAACTTATATACCCTCTGGTAATTTAACGTAGCTATTGAACATGACCATTTATAGTGGATTTTCCCATAAGAAATGGTGATTTTCCATAGTTATGTTAGTTTACCAGAGGGTAACCTCCTTTTCAGAACACTATCGACCAACTCCCAGCCCACATTCGCGTCAACTTGGGGGGCAGGAGCTGCTCAAAGTGGTGCAGGACCTGTTGAGAAACGGCAAATCCACAGGATGTCCATCGGCGTGTTTGCATAAACAAGGCATAAATAAGGCAATAACACAATCATGAAAATATAACATGATATAACATGATGATATATCATGATATAACATGATATAACATGATATATCATGATAAAACATGATGATATGACATGATATAACATGATATAACATGATGATATATCATGATATATCATGATATATCATGATATAACATGATATAACATGATATAACATGATATAACATGATGATATGACATGATATAACATCATATAATATTATATAACATGATATACCATGATGATATATCATGATATATCATGATATAACATGATATAACATGATATAACATGATATAACATGATATACCATTATATTCCCTTTTGGTGAAATCTGTAACCTCATCTATACCAAATCTCACAAATCTATCCAAATCTTTGATTTGCTTGAGAACAAAAATAGTAGATTTCCTAGTCATGTGGTGGATTCACCAATGGGCAAAGATCGAAATTCATCTCCCAGTCGATGGGTAAACATTAGAGATAACATAATCTCTAAGAAGAGGATGAAACATCCCCCAAACGAAGAGAGGATAACGAATCCAATGAAGATAAATACTGTATCCCATAATATCCCCAATAGATTGGAAATAAACAATACATATACAGTCTATCTGAAATTAATGTTGGGTATGGCCCCGGATTCGAGGCCATGGGAAGTATAAATAGAGATTGACTGGTCATCTTTAAGACTTCAAACATCAAGTATGCTATATAGTATATTAATATGCATCGAAGAAATGTCGATACATATATATATATAAACTACTTGAACACTCATGTACTATGGGATAAACTATCCCATTTTACAGGGTACCCATCGGCATTGACTCAGCTTAAAGCGGGGCTCTGCGCCAAACCTGGTTCATGAAAACATGACCTAGGTCACCTAGGTCTAGGTTCAGATTATTATCAACTAATTCACTAATATCAACCATTACATCATAATAATATTCAATAGTTGAAACAAGACATGTGGTGATAGTAACGATATCACAGGATCCTTTGGAAGATGTTGCTACCTCCCCTTCACCCGGTCTGAGACGCCCAAACATCCAATGGATTGGCCTGCAATCTGGGTACGGGTTAAATTTATGGGTCCAATTACACGATATCTCCTCTTATCCCAATTGCATATGTATGTACGTATGTATATATATATATGTGTATCCTCGTATCCCAATCTACGTGTATATATATATATATTTATATAATAACATGCATGCGTATATATATATATATACATATTTTTATTTATATAAATCAAAATTACGCCATCCAAAAAAGAAATGGATGGGCAAAGGGTGTCAACGACCAGTCCAGACTCCTATACTCTTGAAATATCTCCAGCACATTTTATCATTAAAGTCCATGTTCCTATACCAGAAATATCTGAACCAGTGGATTAAATAATAATATTCCCATTGCTATCCCCTTTAATATTCGCATGAATATTGCCAGCCATATTGGTTATCCCAGGAAATCAGTACATGCGATATGAATATGCCCACTATTATGCCCTTTAATATTCCCATTAACATTGCCATTAACATTTTTTAGTTTTCCCATAAATATTGCCATTCCCATATACTGCAAATTCTTGATTAATGGCTATCCCAGTAAATCACCACAAAGATCCATCTGTTTGTTGGTTATATAATCATATCATCCCATATCCTACAACTTTCCAAGACATGGTCCCATTATAATTCATCCAGGTTTACAAATGTTGTTGCTGTTTGTTTCCATCTGCAGATGGATCAACTATTACATATATTAATGTTACCAGTATTATTCAGTATATGACATCCATCCAAAGTACATTAATCTGGATTAATCTGGATTAATCTGGTATATCTGAATATTTCCTGAATATATATATATATATTGGATGCATAGCCTATCATTAATGCGAATATATATATATATGGAGATAATGATATACTATAGTTTGTTTTCCCATTGTACAATACTACCACCATTTTTTTGCCATGCACATTGCCATTCCCAATATAATATATTATCATATTGATGGCTATCCCAATGACTAGTATCCCAAGGACTATTGCCATTTACATCACATATCATCAAATAATACGTCCAGTAATATTGCCATTAGTTGATATGAATATCATCGAGAAATATTACTTGAACATTAATTGATCTGAATATCCATAAATATATCCATTAATATCCACTATTCCCTATAAATGGTTGTTCCCCAGCACCTTATTATTCATTAATACAACCTTTTAATATTCCATTATCAAACCATTCATAAACGTCTAATAAAGCATCAATCAGATTTAATTTGTAATTCCCTTGCCGGTGAGAAACGTATAATAAACCTTTACCATTTAATATAATATATATACAGTATATATATATATATGTAAAAATCAAATATTCCTATTAACATTCCTACTTATCATACACATAATTTCGTATCAAGTCCATTCCTCACAATGTTCATACAGTAGTCAGATAACCATAACCGGTTAATTAGTAATTCCATTGTCATTAATAAACGTATAATAAACAATGACCATACCATAACATTGATAAAACCACTAATAAACCATTTAATAAGCCATTCATTATCATGAAAATTGCCATTAACATTTTATAATATTCCCATCAATATTGCCATTCTCATATACTGTTAATGATTGATTAATGGTTATCCCAATAAATCACCATGAAGATCCACCTGTTTGTTGGTTATATCATTATATCATCCCATATCCTACAACTTTCCAAGACATGGTCCATTATTATTGATTAATTGTTATATGATATATCCCACCTATATATATATGTCCCATTATTGATTAATTTATCCCATTATGGTTGATTAATGGTTATTATAAATTACCTGGTATATTAATGGTTTATTCCTGGTTATTACTATATCCCATTGATTAATGGTATTTAATGGCTATATATCGAAATTACCGTAACATTCGAAATCCATCGGAATGACCTGATGAATCTCCTCGGGCGGCATCCCAGCGCTCGCCATGGCCGAGGCCAACATCTCCGCCGAGGCGGCCTGGGAAATGGTGGGTCAATGGCGAGAAAATATGTTTTCTACATGTTTTTATACGGGTGTTCATGTATAATTAAAATGATGATTCATATATATATATATATATAATTTATTATATATATATATATGATTTAACCACCAAGTTTGGGGATATCATGTTTAATATTAATTAAGTAAATGATGCATGGTTTTGACTCTTGACATCTCTTGACCCAACATTCAAACGTGGTCAGTTGAAATAGCTGGGGAATCATCCCTATCATCCCAGGTCCCAGGTGACCTCCGTAACACAGTCCACCCGAAGCATTGCTCGGGCCTCCGCGGAAAGGCAGTTGATTTCCCCTGACGGTTTTCTTATATTGTTTTGCATGGCTATGTTACCAAAGGCTTCTTGTGAAACCTTCAAATACATTGAGTTCAGAAAAATTGGCAGCAAAGATTCCTTTTGAAGTGGAATCTGCAACCTGAACAATATCAAATCTGTCAAATCTGTGATTTGCCAGGGCCACAAACAATCTCAACAGTAATTCCCATATCAGATTTTCCCATGGTGGATTAACCAATAGGAACAAAGTGCCGCAGCAAATCTTTGACTCAGCAAATCCAGGAAATCGGATTCCAGGTATATGAGTGATAAAAGTAATGATAAAAGTAATGCTTCATCATTACACCAGGAATATGTGTATATATATAAAATATAAAATATATACAGCATAATATACATAATATATATAATGATATAATATATATATATATATAATACAAGATAATATATATATATATATAATAATATATAATATAATAATATAATAATATAAAATAAAATATAATATAATATAGTATAATATAATATAATATAGTATAATATAATATAATATGATATAATACAATACAATATAATACAATATAATACAATATAATATAATATAATACATTATAATATAATATAATATAATATAATATAATATAATATAATATAATATAATATAGTATATATAATAATATATAATATAATAGATAATAATATATATATATATATACACCGATGTGAAAGTAAGCGGCACCGAAAACACTTTTCAGGGCCATTTAATAGATGGCGCGGACACCGGTATTTGGAACAAACGAAATCTGAGAAAATAACCGAATCTGCCCCAAGTGAAGGTAGATGGCGCAACCCGCTGGTGTTGCGCCATCTACTTATGCCAGATTCTATCTAAACGTGCAGATAATGTGGTTGAAATTGGATGAAATTTGTGGACAAGATTCTGCGCTATGTTTTCCTTTTTTTCCCCGGCAGTCTGTGGAGTTCAAACATGTTGAATCTGTGGAGTTTTCGCAACCGGGTACCTGCAGTTTGGTTATGCTTATCCTTAGTGCCAAAGCTGGCGCAGCTCCAAGCATCACATAGGTGGTTCTTGTGGCCCAGTTGCGCCATCTACTGTGCATTCGATCTGGTGGAACATGCGCATGATTTTTGTGGGAGAGGGCGCTCACATGCATACACCAGTGACATGTCAGTTGCGCCATCTATGTGGCTGCAATATGGGGAGGTTCCCCGTGTGCTTCTGGAGTTGCGCCATCTATGGCAGTGGCAAGCATAACCAAACTGCACACACCCCGGTCGCGAAAACTCCACAGATTCAACCATGTTCGCCGAATACTAAGTAATGCGGGTAGCGGTAATCGGTGGGAGGGGGGTGGGGACCCTGGTTTAATTTCTTTAATTAAACGGGGTCCCCTGCAGTATGGTTTTTTCCAAAATCTTTCAGTCAAACATAACCTCCGTTTATTTTTAACATAAGAAATTAATCCAGAAAACTTCCAGTTAAGGTCCCACCCAGCATCCCCCAGCTAAAAATTAAACAAGCTACTCGGCAGTACCTGGTTTAATTTTACAGGATCATTAGGTTGATTTTGTTTTGCTAAGACCAAATATTAAACCACCTGGTTCTACACATGTCAGTGAGACTTGGTGTAAAACTAGTTGCGCTCACCATTTTTCCCCCCAGGTGCGTGGACCAACTCAACTTTCTCAAAATTAAACCCCATGGTTTAATTTCAGCTGTTTTAGCTCATTGTGCTGCCTCGTGTTCCGCCTCGGGATACTGCAGCCATGGTTCCTGACACGTGTCCTAGCACAGCTCCGTGAAGACGATCCGGCGTGGACAGCAAGGTTCTTGCACAGTTGGGAACAGCATTGCTGCAGCCCAAATGCTCCATCTCAAGCAGAGCAAGTCCATGGGAAAGGCGCTGCGGGACCATGGTAAACTGTTTCTATCTGTTTCGGGCCCCTTGCGTGATCCCAGATCAGGTCAGAAGGGGTGGGTGAGTCCATACGTACTGAACATTCATTCATCAGGACACCTTTGGCACCATAATATTCATGGGATTTATGGTCACCAGAATAATTAAACAAGGGGTGGGTGAGTCCACATGTATTGGGCATTCAGGATCAGTGCTTCCATTGGGGCACCCCCAACACCATAATATCATACAATATCCATGGCATTGATGGTCACCAGAATAATTAAACAAGGGGTGGATAAGTCCACATGTTCTTGGCATTCATAAAGATTCATGTATTGGGATACCTTTGGTGTTATCATGATTCATTGTTTTTTCTTGAATTTTCATCTTTGGTCATCACAAAGGAAGGAACCTGATGGAATCTCATTGGACTTGCTACTTTCGAATTATTTTGACACCTATATCTCACCAATCTCTCTCCACCATGATCAACTTGCACTCCAATGAGATTCCATCAGGTTCTTTCCTTTGTGATGACCAAAGATGAAAATTCAAGAAAAAACAATGAATCATGATAACACCAAAGGTATCCCAATACATGAATCTTTATGAATGCCAAGAACATGTGGACTTATCCACCCCTTGTTTAATTATTCTGGTGACCATCAATGCCATGGATATTGTATGATATTATGGTGTTGGGGGTGCCCCAATGGAAGAACTGATCCTGAATGCCCAGTACATGTGGACTCACCCACCCCTTGTTTAATTATTCTGGTGACCATAAATCCCATGAATATTATGGTGCCAAAGGTGTCCTGATGAATGAATGTTCAGTACGTATGGACTCACCCACCCCTTCTGACCTGATCTGGGATCACGCAAGGGGCCCGAAACAGATAGAAACAGTTTACCATGGTCCCGCAGCGCCTTTCCCATGGACTTGCTCTGCTTGAGATGGAGCATTTGGGCTGCAGCAATGCTGTTCCCAACTGTGCAAGAACCTTGCTGTCCACGCTGGATCGTCTTCACGGAGCTGTGCTAGGACACGTGTCAGGAACCATGGCTGCAGTATCCCGAGGCGGAACACGAGGCAGCACAATGAGCTAAAACAGCTGAAATTAAACCATGGGGTGGGTCACATCTCAAAATTAAACCAACTCAACTTCCTTCAGGATCTTAAGGAGGTGGGTGGACCCCCTGTTTTCGTAAGATTTTTTAAATTAAACCAAACAAATTAAACCTAACTCAGTGTCCACCTGGTTTAATTTAGCTACTGCATCCCGCATACTAAGTATGTATTCGCGGTCTTGCGTGGGAAAAAGATGGCTCAGGTGCGCAGGCTATATTAATGCGAGTTGCGCCATGTATGTTGGCCCCCCGGGGGGCCAAAGTACATGGCGCAACTAGTGTATTCTGCGCCACTTACTTTCACCCCGAAGTATGAACTCATAGTATTCCATAATAAATACGAACTAGATGATTCATTGAATTCTATATGTGACAGTGACTCCTGATCCTTGCGTGTGGACATCTTGGACCGCACCTTGCCAGGGAAAACGAGGTCAGGTGCTTCCTGTGCATCGTGGTTCCATCGTTTCCCAATGTTTCCTATAGGACTATCCAGTGGGTTTCCCAAACATCCTATAAATGTCCTCTATTTGTTGGGGCTTTTAGCCACATGGTTGCCGGATTTTTTTTACATCTCTATGATGTCACCACACTACTCATCCAAGGCTTTCCCTGTTGGCTGAAGCCTCAAATTCCCTCAATTCTTGGTGAAATTCCCAGGTTTCTTCCCATTGGTATCCATGATTCATTGGCTCCCCCTGATTCCATATCGGAGATTTCTTAAAATGCTGGATCCCCAGTCACCATAGATCTCAATATTAAGCTAAAACGACTTGGGTGATTTTTCGGATAGCATGACTTAGAATGGACACCTCCTTATTATATCGCTGGTGAAATGCCACCATTTTTTCTGCTTTCTGATCTCGTGACCCTGCCTGGCCCTTGACACGCGCACTCCTTGGTCTGCAACATGGAATCATCCGGTGGACGGAGACGTTCCGCTCGAATGATGGAACGGTGCTTCCATAGGTTGTGGTGTGGTGTAAGTGTTCTAGAATAACATCTGTCAATTAATGACATATTGAATAGTTATATTATATACAAAGCAGTATGTAAAAAAATGGAACCAACATGTTGAACACATTTCAATCCAACTATATCAGATAAAGACCAATGGGGTCCAATGGGTCTTCATCCCAGTGTTGGCAACTCTGTGACCCGATTACCACCTATGAGTTGGGCCAAACATGTTCTTGTACATCCATCTTCAACCAAAAAAAAACTAGGATTTAAATCTTGAATTTCCGCGAAAGGTTAGGACCCAACAATATTAGGTATTCACTAAGTATCTAAAATCTTCCCAAACTCCTTATATAAATATGTTGCGCGATGTATCCAGTGTTCAACACCAAGTGATGGCTTCATCCAGGCCAACTCCCCGCAGAACAAAACCAGGCATTTACCATGAAGACAACCTCAAAAGAATCGAAATGATGCATAATTGATACATAGTTGATTCACAATTAATTCATCATTGATTCACAATTCAGTATGGATTTCCGAAACACATGTCTCAAACCATTGTGCAAAAAAATGTGTAACACACGATGTAAGCCCGTCCGTTTACTCGGCATCCAGGCTGATAGAGATGGTTGGGCAAATGCCATTGAGAGCTGCCGGTGGCCCTGGCGCTGAGTTCAGCTAAGTTAATGGGCTGACTCTCTATATATATATATACATATACGTATATTATAATATATATATATATAAGTTTGCATGCCTGATCTGTATGTGATGCTACATGCTACATGTCATGCCATACTGTATATCTAATTCTATATTATATTTATATATATATATTGAGCAACATATACATATATATATGTTATAATAAATAAATATGGACATATATAATTGTGTATACATTACATTCAATAGAAATATTGATATTGTGTCTTGCAACGGCCCCAACTCTGGGAGTGAAGGATGGAGCTGTTTTCAGTCAGAGCCTGATATTGATATTCCAACCCCTTTCTTTTGTAGGGTCTACTCTAGTATTTCCCTGTACTGTAACTCCAAACATAACTCGCTAAAAATACACATGTCTACTATATATATATATATAGTAGACATGTACATAATACTCTGTTGTTACAGCAAAAATGTTGATCCATACCTATATCTCCTCCTATCACGGAAGTGACACAAAGAGAAATATATGCGGCTCCGGCGCCTGTTGTAGTAGTAGACCCGCCCATCCTGGCTGCGGGAGTTTGAGCATCTCCCACGAAATGGCGAAGAATTGGGGATCGGGGACCGATGTTAATCTCATTTTAGTATCAACGATCCATTTTTCAGGCCCAAGTTGGACCCATACTCAACAAAAAACCATGGAAAGTTACACCATTCGAATAAGTTCGGCAAATCATCGAACCACATGGGCCATGTTACACAACAAACTCTTTCAGTACCAGGGGGTATATTCCCAAGGTCTTTAATTTTCAGCCATTTCATATTGTTCGTTACAGTTTGGCGATCACCAACTACCCTCTGGCTATTTATCATAGCCATGGCCCATTTATAGATAAGAAAAATGATGACTTACTATTTTCTTAATGGTGATTTTCCATAGCTACTAGTATGTTAAATACCCAGAGAGTACCCATCAATTTTCAACCCACCTAACCCCCTGGTCCTCCGTAAACTCGCGCGTCCACACGTCCTCGGGGACCAAAAAGCCGGTGCCTGGCAGAGAGTGTTCCAGTTGGGGATGCTATTAGGGACAATATGGGACATAATGGGCTGGGATATAACGCATGGATATAGATGATATGCCATGCCATATATGATATTAATGGGTGTGGTACCTGAACATGAGGACTCTTTATACATTGATTGCCATTTAAGTGTATTAATATAGCCACTTGGTAAGGGTTCCAGTAAGTATCTTGAACCTCTGGTAATCAGACATGGCAATGGACAATTCCCCGGTAGATTCATTTCCATTTAGCCTTCCGTTCAGTTCGGGGGTTCCCCAGCTAGCCATGTTTGATTACTGGAAGGTACAACCATTAATATCCCATTATACATTATATATCATTATATATATATATATATCATGAAGATCCCATTAACAATCATTAACAATAAACTCCTAACTTCAATAGCCCTTTTCTTTCAAAGGGCCCAACTGTACCAACGGGACGAGTTGCGCTTCGATGCTCATCGTGAAAATCATGGATACAATTGGGATATTCAATGGGAGATGGACGTGTTTGAATGTTTTTCCCCACCTGCCAGGTGAGGGTTGTTAGATTTTATGTCAGTTGCCTCCTCCTGCCTCCTCCTGCCTCCTCCTGCCTCCTCCTGCCTCCTGCCTCGTCCTCCTCCTCCTCCTCCTCTCCTCCTCTCCTCCTCTCCTCTCCTCGTCTCCTCTCCTCTCCTCTCCTCCTCTCCTCTCCTCCTCCTCCTGCTCAACCGCGACCCTCGACGCACAGTGTTCTCTGTCGGACCTCAACCACGACCATCCCCGCCCAGTGTTCCCTGCCGGACCTCAACCACGACCATCCCCGCCCAGTGTTCCCTGCCGGACCTCAACCACGACCATCCACGCCCAGTGTTCCCTGCCGGACCTCAACCACGACCATCACCGCCAGTGTTCCCTGCCGGACCTCAACCGCGGGTATCCCCGCCCAGTGTTCCCTGCCGGACCTCAACCACGACCATCCACGCCCAGTGTTCCCTGCCGGACCTCAACCGCGAGTATCCTAGAAGATATGCCAGATAGAATGCCAGAAGGTATGCCAGATAGAATGCCAGATAGAATGTCAGCTAGAATGCCAGAAGATATGCCAGATAAAGTGCCAGAATGTTTGCCGGATAGAATGCCAGCAGATTTGCCAGATAATATGCCAGAAGATATGCTAGATAGAATGCCAGATGGAATGCCAGAAGATTTGCCAGATAATATGCCAGAAGATATGCCAGATAGAATGCCAGATGGAATGCCAGAAGATATGCCAGAACATATGCCAGAAGATATGCCAGAAGATATGCCAGAACATCTGCCAGAAGATATGCCAGAACATCTGCCAGAAGATATGCCAGGTAGAATGCCAGAAGATATGCCAGATAGAATGCCAGATCGAATGCCAGAAAATATGTCAGATAGAATGCCAGAAGATTTGCCAGTAACAAAATGTATAAATGTCATGGTGGGGATCACACGAAGTAAAGTAATTGTTTTTTTTTTAAATGAATTTTGAACTATGAAATATGATGAAATATGTGCATCTCGACATTCAATGGGAGATGAAATCGGACATATCAGGGAGATCTTTGTCAAACAATGGATCTGATGTGGATGTGGTACCTGAAAATGGGGTTCTACCATGTTATACCCATCAAATGACCGTATGTTTCATGGACGTTCGACCCCATGATGGTAGCCTATGGGCCCGGTGTCGGGGCTGGTCGCTTGTTGTTGTCACAAATGTCCAACCCTTGTTGGTTGCAAGTTATACTTTGTTCTGTTCAAAATTGATCTTGCCAATCTTTCACGGAGTAGATTCCCCCATTAAATCACCATTGTTGCTAGATGTTGCTAGCATATTTTGTTTTCTGAAACTGTGACTCCAGAGGTGGCAATGATATGTAATGTGTATGAACGAAAACAACCATCCATATTCCAAACTTTTAAACCAACCATCTTAATCCATATTTCAACAAACTTCTAATAACATGGTTTCTTTACAAGTTTTTTACAATCTATATACCATAATATACCCTCTGGTAAACTGGCAAACTGGAAAATCACCATCTTTAATATGTAAATCAATCATCAATGGGCCATTTTCAAGTTCGCAAACATTTTTTGCCGTGAAACCAGAGGCTAACTGGGAAAAGTATGGAACAGATTGGAAAAGTGGGAGCTTCCCCTGAGATTCCTATCCCCACATATCCCCACATATTCCCAATGGAGGTCATATGAATCACAAAAACCCTATCCCCTTCCCAACCCCTGCGGCGCACCTCGCCCAGTGTAGGCCGCTTCCAAGGACTCATCCACGGATCCCATGGCGTCAGACCGTCAGGCGGCGTGACGTGATATAAACATATACATGCCATATATGCCATATGCGCCATATATATATATATATGTATATCATCCTATATATAGATAGTTTATAATCGTTTTCTATAAAACCATTCGTAGTTTGTCTTTTTCGGATGAGTTGAAACTCGGAACTGGTGAGATTTCGTGAAGATGCGAAGTTTTGAATCGTTGGCCCTTCCGCAAGGTTTCTGCATGGTGATTTCATGGTCCTATACACAGCAAAGGCAAAGGCAATCGGCGCCGCAGTCCTGACCTTCTCAGGAAGTCTTAGGGGCTCAGGATCATCTCATGTGGGCGACAATAAATGAAACGTTTGGGGATATATATGGGGTAAACTAATATAGACGTGGGGATATATATACTATCTATATATGTGAAACCAGATGAAAACTGTCATTTTTTCCCATTTTGGGTTTCTCCACTTCTCACCCGGTTCACGGTGCCTGGGACAGCCCGGCCGTTCATGGAGCGGTTGTGCCGCGACACCAGGCAGGGACGAAAGGTGCATTGCTCGACCTCTCGGCTGGATTCAGCAACTTTTCTGGTGTAGTTTCATGTAATTTTGAAGTTTTAAGCAGCAAAAGTCAAGCCACAAAAACACGGGGAGTTCACAAGCAAACATGACTAAACATATCTAAAAATGCTAAATATGGATCCAAACAAAACTTTGATCAAAAGACATCTTTTGATCGAGGCAAACTCTTGGCAATGGTGTAAATGGTACCCTGAATATTGCACCGCAATAACTCAAGGGGTGTAAAATCTCAATGGGAGAAAATACCGTACGAGTACATCTTTGGCATTATGAGTATGTTTCAATGATTTACAACTGGATTCTAATTCTATAGCTGGATAGGGAGAATAGATGAGAATAGTGTCCAATGTATATTCCAATGTATACCCAATGAAGTGGGCTTGCATGAAATTGGGGAGTATTGGGGTATCCGCAAATTTGATGGTTTGATAAGCATAACTTTCTCATGAAAACATTCAATTTTTGACGTCAAACGGACACATTTATATTGTTGATTCAAGTTGATTCTATAGTCAGAATATATCCCACATCTATGTCCATTACTTGCATCCCTATTATCTCCCATTTTCCCCAATTAGTGTTGGTGAAATCCCCAATTTCATCCAATTTCCCAATGTCCCGAGGCCCGCCACGCGCCGCATGAGGCGTTCAACCCATGGCCTGCTGAGCGTCGCGTTCCTCTCGCAAACGTTGCCGATGGGCTTCCACCTGTGTGGGATTGGGTGGATGATTGGGTGGATGATTGGGTGATGGGTCTCATTGGAAATATGCATGGATATATAGGGATTTATAAGGATATAATAGGGATATATATATATATATACAGTAATTATATATATATAGGGAATATACATGAATATACCATTATCAATATTATTGGACTTATAGGGATTTATGGAGAGATAATTGGGATCTCATGGGAAATAAAATGCAAGATACCGTCTGGTAATCATTTGCGGCTGGCTGGGAAAGGTGTTAGAGGCAAAATCATCTATATAAGACATGGTGGAATTGTTTGATTACCAGAGGGAATATGTGGGATTACTATGTTATTATTATTTGTTTTTAGTGGATATCCAATGGATATAAAGTGGATATCTAATGGATATGTCAATGATAACAATCTTATAAACATCTTAATTATGACCATCTGTCTTGTAATTATATAGAACCATACGAACCACATATGTATATATTAATAATTAACATTAATTAACCATATGAAAAGTAGTAGATACGGTTTGGTTCCATTGTGACCATACTGCAACATATACACTGTATATGCAAATAAGATACACATCACCAATATCTGGATAAGCTGTAATAATTTACCCACCTGACATCTAAGGTCAAAATTGGGACAGTTACCCCAATCGACCATGTCTGTGTATGTGTATTATATACCATCTGGTTATTTAACATAGCCATGGAAAATCCCAACCATAAATGGAGGTTTTAATGGAAAATCATCTATAAATGGGCCATTTTCCATGGCTATCTTTACATCAATGATATGCTGGTTGGTGGTTGAGCATGGTTGAGCCACCCCTCTGAAAAATGATGGAGTGAGTTCGTCAGTTGGGATGATGACATTCCCAATCTATGGAAAGTCAGAAAATTCCATGGTTCCAAACCACCAACCAAATATCTCATTAACCACTATTAACCACCATTATTCACCAGATCTTTCTCTGAAATCCCCGTGTTTCGAAGGCAACTTTGCACACCTGGACCTGCAGCATCTGACAACACCCCGCCTGCTCTTGACGCCAGAGTAACATGTCCACATGACGACGGCTTCCAGACTCCTGGAAAACCGAAATGAATCTCCCAAGTTACAAGGAGTTGACCAAGTAACATAAGTAACTCCATGGCCCACTGTAAACTGTATAAATCTGTATAAGTACATCTATAAGTCGGTTCTCAAATGAATTGTCCCACTCAAGGCATACGAAACGACAATGAAATAATCGTGCATCAAGGAACTGGATCTCCAAATATTGGCTAAACATTGGCTAAACAAAATGGGATGATGCCCAAAAAGAACATTGTTTTGGGGGGGCGTCGCGTTGCCGTTCTTACACTTACAACTCTCATGGATTTGCGTTGAAGCATTCCCCGTATCATCCGGACCCTAAATGACCTCTCTTGGTTGCCCCAATCAAACCGGAGCTTCCGCTGTACTTCAATTGGTTACTAAGGCTGGTAAATTCCAATGGATAATCATCGGAGGTAAATTCCCACTGTTTGAGACACAGTTTTGATATCCTTGGCATCAATATCATCAATCTCCATCAATTCCCCCTTTTTCATCCTTTTTCTCTATGCATTCCCCGTATGTTTGGCATACATCCTGCGACATCTCCAGCTCAGCTTGGCCCGGTCCTCCTGAATCCGCAGATGCGCTCGTTCCGCCAAACGTCGGCTCTTGCTACTCAAGGACACCGAGGATGTGCTGGGTTCGGCCTGAACCCGAGATCATTGGGGGAAGTTCACCAACAGATCTGGAAGAAATGGAAGATCTTGCACAAACAGTTCGTCTTTATGCCAAAATATCGCTTAGATTTGACCCCAAATGGGATGTTTGGGATTGTGTCAATATTGACATCAGATTTCACTAACAGAAACGGTAGACTTTGCCAGAAAAAACACGGATTCTACCAACAAAATGCGGATGTTGTCAACATCCGTACCCCCTATATTTGCCAGGGTCGATGTTAAGTTACTGGAGGTATATTTACATATAGGAAGTTGTACCCAGCAAAATGCGGATTAGAGCAACGAGCATGGGCATGGGAAATACAACAGGGAAATGATCCATCAAAAACAAAAACTAGGAAAAAAACCGCTCAAATGGGGAGTTGCGCAGCAATTCTGGGAATATCATTGGCGAAATTACAACAAAACCTGGGTATGGTGACCTAACCCCAAAATGCAGTGAATGCTTATGGACACATACAAAATCTATAATTTTTTGGGGGGTTCATTGGTGGAGATGTCACCACCCAAAATGTTACGGCTGGAACAGGTGTCTGGATGTCACCCGGATCTGAAACGGCGCGGAAGAAAATCATGGTACCCTCTGGTAATCAAACATGGCAATGGTCAACAAAAAACAACAAGCAACAGCACTGGTTCCCAAATCGCTCTGCTCTCGCCTCAGGACCTTCAGTCCACTTGCCATGATGTAAGCGATCCAGGTATAGCCTGGCGCAACGCCATGTCTACGTGCCGCTCTACCGAGCGGCAGGATGGAAGTCAAACCCCAACAAAGATCAGTTAAGTACATGGGATATAGTCAAACCGGGTCAAACCCCATCATTTATCAACTATATCATTCAGTTGAGTGGCTTTATTGAAGTATGAACATATGGGGATCTAGTTGATGGTGAAATACTTGGAGAATCACGAAAAAAAACTATGGAACAAAAACGGCACAGCGATTTGTCTGTTTGTTGGGCACTATAAATCATAAAAAAAAAAACGCAGTTATATCATAATTTATGATTATAGTAATACTAACCACAGTTAACCATAGTTATATCATGTTATATCCCCCATAAACCATAGTTAACCATAGTTAAGCAACTTGTGCGTCAACTTTGGTCAAAGGGACACCTCACCCTGGAGGGGATTGTTTCAAATCCTTGGAATTTGGGTTCAGGAATAACCTGAAATCATCCAAAATCACGGAGTTATACTGAGTTGATTTATAAGGAAATCTACATATATATTTATAATATTTTATAATTATTTAATTATTGATACAGGAAAATAATTTGTTTTCAACAGGGTGAAAATTAAGTTTCCCATAGATCAGCGAAGTAATTTTCCATTGTTTTTCTGTAGACATCATCACATCTTCACAAACTCCAGCAACCTTTTCCAACAGCGATGCCATGCCAGGCGATGTCAAGCCGAGTCACTGCTTAAACTCCTGCCGCAACTGCTTGGGATTGAAGCGCATTAGCAATTCACCTGAGAATTCTGAAGATGGGATGATTCTGTGGCTGGATATCTGACCAGAAAAAAACAAAACAACTTGGTAAGGGATGCCGGGAGCCCATTGTAAGCAGCCTACCCCACTGCCCATTTCCAATGGTTTGTCTAAGAGAACATCTACCGAAAACCACCGTTTTTGCCAACCATGTTCCCATCATCTAATTCTGGCATGTTCTCAAATTTCCCAACGACCCCTTTTTGCATGGCGTTTATCTCATCCAACAATCGTTGTTGAGATATTGCCCCCTATAATGTCAACCCCTGAGCTTCAATTGTGGATGATGGTGGGATTCCGCATTGTAGGATACCTCTACATCAGCCCCCATGAACCACCAAACACCTTGCCAATCTTAAAACCCAACAGTTGTTGGAGTTATTTTCAACCAACTTCGCTAAGATACATCAATGATAAATCACCATATTTATCATCCATGTGTAAATTAGGGGGTGGAACCTGGGTAGCTGCCATTTTATAATGCTAAAATGGTTTGTCAGGGGGGTACTCCCTCTATAAAATGAAATCTATATAATATTATAAAATCAAAATCCTCCTGCCCCCCTGGGATCACTATAAAATGAAAGTCCCACCCCCCTGGAAAAAAACATCACTAAATTTTGTCTAAAATAAATGGTTTAGTGGGACCCCGGGGTCCCCCATTTTAGAGAGGGTTATTCCAAAGGGGATGGGCACTCTATAAAGTGAATTTCAGCCACACCACACATGGAAACACTCTATCTATAAAATAGCACCACAACATTGCACAGCCAACATTGTGATACTATAAAGTGGAGGCCTGTGCCACCCCTACTAAATGAACAGCTTTCCTGCAGTAAGACCCCAAGTGGCCTCTATAAAGTAGTACTTGCCCAAAAAGAAAATAGATAAAACATATCCTGATAAACCATTCAAGAACCACTCCAAACATTCTGTTTTCCATTTTATAGTGCCTGAAAAAATGGTTTAGCAGGGTACCCGGGTGCGACCATTTTATAGAGGAAATGGCCACCAGGATTATTTATCTATATTGTGCTGCTTATAAGTATGATAACTCTCCGTTTTTGCTCATAAAACTAAGAAAAAACTAGAACAACTTCAAATCCCATTTGTTCGGCTACTTAAATCCCATTTTTCGGTGGTGAAATCACCATTTTTGATCCATTTCTGCTTTGTATATGATCCAAACTTCCCATTTTTGGCTGAACTTTCCCAATTTTCAGCTGGTTGGTGGTGCAATAACCATCTTGAAACATGATGGAGTTCGTCAATTTCAAGGATTATCCCATATATGAAATGGACAATAAAACAATAATATTTGAAACTACCAGTCAGTGGTTAAAGCCATGGAAAGAATCCCCCGACCCTGAGCTCCGTGGCAGATCTTGGAGCCATCCGGCGCCACCTGAGATGCCGCCAACTTGGCCATGTCCACCGCGGAGGTCGCCTCTTTTGGCGAACGGAAAAACCATGGGATTTTGGCCATGGGAAAATGGTGGAAACCATGGGAAAACCATGGGAAAACCATAGGAAAACCATGGATTTATCTAGGAAAACCCATAGGAAATGCTGACTTCATCCAACAAAAATGCTATTTTAATGGGGCTTACAGTGACTTACAGCTGATTTATGATAGCTATAATTCACCATGTTTTTGGGGTGTTAAACCTATAGGAGTCAAAACCTCTTTGCTAATTATAAAATGGGATTTTACAGATCCATATCAATGGGGTGGCTTTCACTGACTTATAACTTGTATTTTAGGCCATAATGGGCCATAATTGTAGATGTTCACCCTCCGGAAATCAAACATGGCTTGCTGGAGGAGAATCCCACATTTCTTCGATGATTCATGGGGATTTCACCCAGAAAATGATGATTTCAAGATTAAATGTCTGAATTTCACCAAGAAAAATGGGGAGTTTGAACCAGCCAGGTGCGTTCACAGTCCGTTACATTTACATGGGGATTCCGATAGGTTTCTGCCACTATCAATTGGGTTTCACTGGGGTTTATGGTATATCTGGATATCTGGAGGTTTGACCAACAGAAATGGGGATCAGGCTCTCAAAAATGAAGGTGTAAACCATCAAACATATGCGGATTTAACATGATAATGTAATACGATAAAACAATCAAACTCTGGATTTAACGATCCGCATGGGAAGGCAAATGCAAATGGACCCAGATTGATGTGATAGACGGACAGCTCCATATTTCCCAGCTGGAAAGTCTCGTTGAACAGTTTCTTGTACATCTTGGTACGCAAGGTATGCCACTTCGTAAGTGGTTAATAAGCCTAGTTAGTAAGTACCTATTGTGTGGGGTTTTCCCATCTATAAATGGCTCACAACATCTCATAACTATGGTTAGTAAGTGGGATGATCCTCCAAGTACAGTATCCCACTATAAGTGGGCGCTCTATGCAGTGGGGTTGCTCTGAGCCACTCCAAAAACTATCTCAAAGCTGTACTACCTGAAATATTATAAGGTGGTGGCCCCCAAGTAAGTTGGTTGATAAACCCCATTGACTATAGCTAAAGTTATATTCATCATAAACGCTAGGTATACTAGTTATAAACCAACTTAGCTAAGTACGAGGCACCATGCCAGATGGAAGCATTTTTGAAAAAAAAACACGGTTTGGGTACACCTATTTCCCGACCAATTTCCCGGGAAAACGCTTAACATTAATATGGAACAACATAAGAATATGGGTCATTTTTTGTGAAGTCTACTTTAGGTACCCAATAGACCCATAACCATATTCTTTATGAAGTGAAGTCTACTTTCTTTATGTACTTTTGTGAATAATATTGGATTGGTTTTTCACCATCCAATTCTTGGGGTACCCAATATCGATCAGCCACATGGATTTACCCAACGACTTTCCGCACCTGCGAGCCACCTCGGTTGCACATTTCAAAGGTGAACTACGACTGGGCCAAGTCCTGGTACCCCTGAAATGAACATATTTCTCCTCTGAAAGCAGAATCTACCCTCTGGTGATCAAACATGCCAATGATGCAATGGAAAATCCCCTTTGTGTAGATGACTTTTTCCATTAAATTAAGACCTTCATCTATAGGGGTTTACAAATTACCACGTTCTACTACCGGAAGGTATTGGTTTTTGTTCTCTTGATTCAAACATATTCAAACCATGTCAGTAGTTGGCCATGTTTCCCCAGAATCCCAAGTATCAAGTGCTCCAACCCATTCAGAAACTTGGACGTCCATTCATTCGCAAGTGATGAACATGACCCATATCTAACTAGTTTAATTGGATAAAATCATATGGCTATCTACAGAAACTGGGGAGATTCCATTAGTTTGAACATGTTTGAACTGGGTAAAAAACATCTGGTTATTATTCACTGACATTTCCTGGGTCGCTCCACAGTAGTCCCAGAAAAGCAAAGCAAGGCACTCACGGCATCCGTTGACTCCTGGAGGAAGCGGCCCAGGTCTCATTGGCCCGGAGACAATGTAAAAACATGATATGTGCCATGGTCAAAACATGGTATATTGATGGTATATGAGACCTGGGCTGATGGTCATTGGTATATTGATATATATATATATTGATATATGATATGGACGGTATTGATGGTCACCCAGTATTTCAGGCCTTGGTCAAAACATGGTATGTTGATGGTCATCCCATCCAAAACCATCCTGAAATAATGGGTGACCATCCATCCCCGTGGATTGACATGATGACCATCCCGCAATGGAGGGGAAAACGTGACGGACCGTGTTGCCGACCGGACATGGGGGAAGAATCAGAGAAACTTGAAACAGCATAACCAGTAAAAGGAGCCAATATACAAAATAAGTTAAACATGTTTCTAGCCATTTTTACTGAACAAGTTTGGAAAGTCTTGAGTTTCACCAGTTTTGATCCCAAAATTCAGGGGATAACGACCCCCCTTTTTGATGGTGACCAGGGCCCAGGATTCCATGGATTCACGGTCCTCGCAGGCCTTTTGCGCCAAGTTGTGTAACTTCTGCGCCTCCTGCGACAAGGCCAATACAAAAATGGCCAGGCAGTGACCGAATGCCTCTGACAAAAACATGGTAGAATGGGCGATATTTTACTCATGGCATATATCTGTTCATATGTTCTCATATATGGTGTATTAAGTGAATATATCAATGACACATTTCTGGAATCTCAATGAAATACTGGTGCGTTTTACGCAGGGAATTTTCGGGAATGATCCACAATAATTATCCATAATCCCAGCAACCCCCAGCAACCCATCCATTCCCTACGTAAAACACACCAGAATACGTTTAGCACCAGTAAGAATATTGGTAGGATCTCCATGGCTGGTACCTAGCCATGGAGCCAGGGAGATCTACAGCGTCCAGCCGCTCCAGGGACTCGTCGTGCACTGCCACCATCAGTACCCAGAAGAAGACTTGCAGAGTTAGAAAGTCCACGTAACCCACCTGCGGGGGACTGGGGCATCGTCATTGCCAAAATACAGGTATACATATATATATACACGTGTATGTCTATAAATAATTATATATACACATATTATATAATAATATGTTTATGTATATATATATGTATATATATATTATATTATATTATATTATACTATACTATACTATACTATACTATATTATATTATATATATATATATATATATATATCTATTTGTATATATATATATAATTTATTTATTGGTATACATATACAATATAATTACCATGCATAAAAATGGTGAACAATCAAACAATGGGTGAATAATCAAGGAATCAAGCAAACAACATGGGGGAAAAACATGGTGAACAATTGTGTAGGGGGAATGATGTTCTATTCCGATCTCAAACTTTTAGCTTATTACTGAATACACATTCCTCAGTGATATCCGTTTACATATTTCAAATACTACTGAAGATCTTAAAGCATTATGCATTGAACTACCCAACCAAAGTTTCACAGTTTCACCCCAAACAGGCGCCAACAAGGAGGGACCCAGGGAGGATTCTGAGGGAAAAAACGGAGAACCAGAAGAAACCAGGGTCGGATGCTGTCAGCGACCAGGAAAAGCTCGGCTGCGGCCCTTTTTTGCGATGCCAAACACACAGTTTGGAGATCTCCTGTCACTATCAGCCCACAGTGGACTGCGGGGTTGAGCAAAGGCTAGAGAAAAACCTATGACAAACCAGGTCTACCAACCATTCACCAGTTGGTTTACACACTTTCGCACCAGCTCGCAGGTCAGATGGCCATGGCAACTTTCATCTCATCCAAGAAGTCTTTAAAACATCCTTGACCTCGGTGTCAGATCGTCCAGATCGTCGTCTTGGTGTCCCAGGAGTCCCATGTTTTCTCACTTTGCCCATCCCCAAAAAAAACCTGCTTGGGGATGGTCTATCAATGTCTATCATATTTTGGAGGAATGAGAATGAGCCACCATTTACCAGCGAATTTGCTGTGAACACCAGGGGATTCCCAGGGTCACATATCAGCCACGGCCTGCAGTGAAAAAGCACCTGGTAAATAATCCTCGGATCATGGAGCTATAGCTACAATTTTGGCACCCGAAATGGATCTGAAGGGATTTTCACACCATCCCCAATACCGTGGGCAATCTTGGGCATATATCTCTTTTTGGGAACATTTAGAATACCCTCTCGTAATTTAACATAGCTATTGAAATGATCGTTTATAGATATTTATAGTGGATTTACCCATTGAACATGGTGATGTTCCATATAGTTATGTTAGTTTAGCAGAGGGTACATGATGTCGTAATATGTTTAAAAATTGGGACCGAGGACACCGACTCATAACATCAGTCATGAAAACAGCATTTCCCCATCCACATTTTTGCGGGTGAATAGGGTGCTCCAAGACATGTAGCAAAATGGTATACTGTAACCCCCGAATGGCAATCTAAATGGACAACATGATGATTAATCAGTGCATTCAAGGTTTTTCCGTCAATTTCAGACAGACACATATGCCATATATTTTTGTTTGCATGATGTACCCAGTCATATCCATCATGATCAAATTCCGGTTGATCTCCAGGCTTTCTCCAAAATCTCAGGTGTGTTTGAGGTGGCAATGATTTTCCGATTGGAGCAACCATATTTTTGCAGTTGAATTGCCAATTGAATCCCATCTTGACTAGTGAAATATGGTAACATCCCAATTTTCCAAGGATCTTCGGGATTTAAGCTGTGAAGACCAACTCACTCACTCGGTAGTCAGGTTGAGCCCCTCTCCACGTAGGGTGCCACACGGCTCTGCACGAAGCCCTCTGCGCGCTGCCGGGCCTTTCGATGGCGTGGGCGGAGTCGTTTGTGTGGGTGCTGGGAAATTAGGGATAGTAATGTCAGGTTGGTAAGTCAGTTTCTAACTTGCTTATTTGCAACCAATTTATATTCTGTTTGGGATTCCATCTGCCGATTTTTGCTTTTTTTGGGGGGGAGGGTTTCAATGGTGTTTAGACAGCATTGGTTTGGTCTTGGCCATCCTTTTGTGGATGGTTTGCTTTTGCACATCTCTGTAGAAACACCCATGTACACCATATATCACCATAAGTATATATATATTATATATTAGATAAATTATTCAGGTGCAGTGGTCTACTATGAATGAATGCAAACAAGACACACATATACAACTAATATGGGTAAAACAATAATAAACCACCCCATGTTTGATGGTTTATACCACCCATAAAAATAGTGATTTGGGGGGTGGTTTATGGCATTGTTTTAACCACATTACTAACTTTGGGTGTAACATCGCACAGTAATTTGCTAGCTCCTTGAGGCCTGGACTTCTGCCCCCTTTTCCTTCCTCCAGGTCTTGTCCATCATCAAACGCTGCACCTGAGGCTCCCGTGCTTGGCTCGAGCGCAAGAACCACTAGTACTGTACTATTTGAAGTGTGGTATTTCTACATGTGTAAATTATGTATGTATATATATATATAGGTATAATTGTATAATGATTATCATTGACTATCTATCTAGCTATCTAATCTAATCTAGTCTAATCTAATCCAATCTAATCTATATATACGCATAGGGCAGGTTATATGCGCTACTTGTGCCGTAAAACATAAATCCAATAGTAAGGGAGTGAAGATAGCAATAGCTCGAGGCCTGTGGTACATTGACTCTATGACTCTGAGATACCCGAGCCTTGCAGGAAATGTTGGCATTGACTATCTTATTGATTAACTTGATCTGTTCTCCTTTCCTCTCTCTCTCTCTATGTCTTGTCTCTCCAAGGATTCTAGATTCTATTCTTGTCTCTCGGAGTATTCTATCTAAGTAATACACAGGTACGATCGATAGGCGGAGTCACAAGAACCACAATGACCCAGTAGACCTCCATTCTTTCGCTCCTGTCCCAGAATGCCCACTACCCACGTGTCCCTTTTGTGACCCTGACACGTTCCGTGAAACCAGCTGCTTCCTGTGGAGTTGCCACGTACAAATGCGTTTTGGCCTGGGAGGTGCGTTTTGACGCTTGGTGGACCACATCATTTAGGGCTTTCCTAAGTACCAAATAGCTGGATGATGCTGGATGATGGAAAATCCACTTTTCTTTGGATGGTTTGGGGGTCCCCATTTTAGGAAACCACCATTTAGACATCATTGGTTTTCCAGGAACTTCCGATGAGTGGCTCAACTTCCCTTGCCGGGATCGAACATCAACAGTTTTCACCCTAGTGCTTAGATGCTTCACCTCCCTCGAAAAGAACAGCTATGACCAGCAATGTTGTACCTAGCAGTGATATAATACGGCATAACATGACCAATACCAGAACAACATAAATATAATAACTGTTTATGTAATTCATGTATTGGCTAATGCTAGGCCCAGTAGCATGTAATAGCAACCTAACATAGCTACGGAAAATCACCCTTAAATCAGACGTAAATCATCGAACTAAATGGATCCAAATGGGCCATGGCTTTCTGGGCATCACAAACCACATTGAGCCTGATCTCCTCCTCCGTGCCTTTGAGCCTGAGGCTTTGAACGCTTTGCTGAGAAATCCTTTGTAGAAAATAGGAGGGTCCATGATATCCATGACATCCATGACATCCATGACTCCAAAACCCCTCCAAAGTCAGGGTTTCCTGATGTTCCTGTTTTGGCAATTGGTCAAAGGTTTCTTAGGAAACACGACCAAGATCATATGTTCGCACGAGGCAAGAAACAAACAGCTGGCAACGGTATGAAGTGATACCAGTACAGTACAGGAAGTCAACAGGGAACGGGAATGGTCAGGTCTAGTTTTTTTTTTCCATAGTTTTGTAACACAGTAGGGTGTTTAAGTGAGCTTGGTACCTGAAAATGCTGAGAAAATCCAACAGACACCCCTGGTTGAGAACATATGGTTCCCTCTTAAACTATATGAAAGGCAACTGGCTCCGGGCCTGATTGTTGGAAGTGGATGTTACTGGTGCATCAGAACAGTATCACTATGTTTTTCGGAGGTCCACCACTGGTATCCAGTTAAAATACAGTAGATCACCAAACGGTTATCATTCTCCTTCCCAAAAAGTGGTTCGAACAGACTGGGAATGGTGAGTCCCATCATTTGCAAAGGTCAATCCAGCGTTGCGGTGAACAAACCAACTGAGACCAGTACTTCCCAGAACCACGGGGTAGATCGTATGGGTAGGGGGGATTGACTCTTGGAGATATCCATGATAAACACAGCCTGTGCAAAAATCTAAGAATCTGGGGACGCAACTGAAAAGATTATGCACAAGTAAGATTCCGCAATAATATGATATAATATGTAATGGGATCCTGCTGATGTTACTTGGCCCTACGGTTTTTTCTGTGGTTTCTCGCCAAACCACTTGGGGATCGTTTTTCATCCAGAAAAAACGGGCTAAACGCATGTAAACACAATAACAACCCCAAATTAGAGATGGTTTACTATTGGGTTTACCGATCAACTCCCAAGATATTGGGCCCCCAGACTCTTCCCTCATGTGCGGTAACGTTTGCTCTAGTTCGTCAATGCTGTGACCACGGTGAAGGGTACGGATGCGCATGTCCTGGTCGCCAAGGTTGCCCCGAGTTGGCAGCGGGGAAAACTATTCCAAGAAGATTGTATAGATTGTATTGACATGTGTTTCGATACACGATATGTGACATTTAAAGTAAAAACATATATGGTTTAACAAAACTATGGACAATGCCATTGATAGATGACTTATGATGAATCATCTATTGACAAGGGCAATTTTCCATAGCAAACCATTCAATAACCAGAGGGCAAAGTGTATGGTGCTGTGTTGTCAGGCCTGCCCAGGTCTGAAAGCCTCACTACTGACCTCACTGCTAAGAGCTCGGATTACAGCGTTTGATTGTTTGCAAATCGAACGCAACCACAAAAAATCACTTGAACGTCAAGTAGAACACATGGAACGATTCAGAACAAATTCACAAGTGCTGTCTAACATTAAACAGTTTGGAATTTGAATCTTGACTAATTATGGTTGATGTTGGTGTCCTTTCTTTGAGAGTGCTGGGAGAGAGTGACTTGAGTTGTTTAAACCTCTACCATAATCGCGATCCCATTCCAACTACTCCAGAAATCCCAAGTACCAAAAGGGCCCCCAGCATGAAGAACGAATGATAAAACCAGGGTTTCAATTGGAGGATATTGAATATTAAATTACAATAGAAAAGGATGGGACCAATACTCAATGCCCAGGTCCAGGTATTTTCCATGATTTTCCCATTTTTTTTGACCCCCAGTTTTTGTAGGTCATATCATCTTGACACATTTCAATTTTTTACTTCATATATTACATGTGTGTTGATCGTTAACCGCTCATATCCACTGCATAATGTTGGTAAATATTCTACATATATATATATATATATCCATATATTTATCATATACCTATCGGATATGATTTTTCCCTACAACGTGGTCCCTGCTAGATAGCTAACTTTGTTTGTAATTCCAATAAATATTGTTTATGATACTATAACTACAGATATTGAGTTTTAAAAACCAACAAACAAAACTGGGGGGCGTGCGGGTCACCTTGTATACATCATCTATCTCTCTTAGGAAGTTTTGCTGAAATGGGGGTCTCCAAATCATCCATTAAAAAAACATGTCCAATAAAAAAACCGTCAATTTGGGGTACCCCTATTTGTGGAAACCACCATATGTCACTATTAAAATCCACAGGTTTGAGCCTGGACGAGCTGCACTGGCACACGAAGTTCCTCACACATGTTGGCCTGGAAAGTGGCTGAGACATCGGAGATACATAACATTTTTTTTTTCCCTCCTGGCCCAATGCTGCTCAGTGCCGCGGCCAATGCAGGTCTCTGTGAATTCGCGGTGGAACTTCAGCGTACATAGTCCGCTCCAAAATGAGTGCTGTACTGTGTCACTGTAAGTGACTCCCATAGCGTGACATCTGTCGCTGTTGGCTCTACACCAGCCGTCGTCGGGATCCGATCAATTGCCCGACGGAAGATGCTAGTGCTCCGCACATAGCAGAGGGATACTCTTTGAGTATGCCTGTGCGCCACTGGCCTTCGGCTGTCAGGCCGATTGAAGAGCCTCGTGGCAATTCTCTGCGGGTCATCCACTGTCGTAGGTCGTACACGATGTCCGGCAGGTTGATGAGCATCAAATCGGTAGCCTTCGCAGATGGTGCACCAAAAAGCCCTTGCGCCAGCCTGTGTCGGCAGACACGAGGGGCTTGTAGCAGTGCCAGCACTGCCGGCAGCTTCCAAATGGAAGCAGCCATGTCATCATCTGGCTCAGCCGGATGTTCAAGAGCTCCGCAGCCTCCAGTCTGTACCATGGTGGCCGCCATCAGCAGGGAAAAGGTGAGCAGCTGGTTCCCCGTCAGCACCTGAGCCATTTCTTTGAGCGCCAAGCTGGGAAGCCCCCAGAGATGCTCAGCTGAACGAAGGATTCTTGGGAGCCTACGGCTCTTGTCCAGGGCAATGCCTTGTCCACGTGCCTTCGACCATGTTTCGCATGGTGGGCCTGCCAAAAAGGCGACCACGAAACCATCCAGCGCCGCTTTCTGCCAATAGTCACGTGTGCCTACGGCCATGGCGTCTCCCCAGACTTTGTCCACGATCACATCCATGCTCACGACGTGGAGGACATAGTGGCTTGGGCTGTCCATGCGGTCCAGGAAAAATTGCACGTCGCCTGGACGGCGCCTTCCAGAAAAGATGTGCAGGAAGACCCGATGTCTGCAAAAGTCCCTGGGCACGCAAGATGCCCCGGACCAGTCAGTGACAGCAACGTCTCTGCACTCTTGTTCCAGGTCCTCCAAGCTCTGAGACGGCTTAACCATCGGCCTGTCCAAATTCCAGCAGCTCGGGTCCAGCAAGGCCCGAAGGCGGTCTTGCACAATATTGTGCTGGACCGGCCAACTCTGCGCATCGTTCTCGTCCAAGGTGTCCACGAAGTAGCGAAGCGTCGCTGTCCAGGTAGTCCAGGAAGTAGGACGCCTCGCCATCTCCTCCATGATGTGCTGAATCGCGGTCTCCACATTCTCCAGGTCGAGGAAGGTCTCCATGAGGAACATGTGCAAGTCATTGTCCACCTCGGTCTCCTCTCGAAGACGAAGTGGCAGGTGAGGTCCTTCAGCTTGCAAAGGGGGCAAAAGCCGGTCATGCTCCTGTGACCTCTGTTGGTCGTCCTGCGATCCTTTGCCTGGAACCAATGTGCAGGCATAATTTCTGCTGTGCAATGTCCTTCTGCAGCTCTTGGCATATAGAGGTGCGCACTCAGCTTGCCCATGGTGTGAAAGTCCTTCAAGCACGCCGGACAAACTGTGTCATCAATCAAAAGCCGGCGTCTCGCCACATGTTGGTGTGCACGAAACATGTGAGCAGCTTCGCCAGCGCGATTGCGACAGCGTTTTTGGCAGGGCAGGCATCCAAAAATGTCTGTCTCTTTGGTGTCCATGTCTTCGTGCGGTTCATACTGGAGGGTGCGACGAAGTTGCTGGGTCAACTGCTCGTAGAACACGTGCGTGCGCCAGCGATTTTCTCGTTGCAGGATCGCATGCTCAAACGTCCTGCGCGTCAGCCGCCTCCAATAGGATCGGTGGAAGACAAGCACCTCTCTCCATCTTGCCCAGCTGGTTCTCGGGTCTGGCATTTGCGAACTATGTCGGATTTGCTGCCACATCCATTCGAGGTCGGCTTCCATCAAAGCTTGCCACGCTGTATCTGCGGCCAAGTCCCCATTCTTGGCGTGCTCCACAATGATGTAGAGTGGCCACATAGCGTAGACGAGCCCGACGGATGAGCTCAATGGGACTGGGCATATGAACCAGTGTCAGGATCTCGTCATCAGCCATGTGCTGGTCAGATGGGACTGGTAATAGCCGGCGATATAGGCGTAGAACTGCCGCATGGAAATGTGCAACTGTGGCCTCCTCCGTGACTACCCATGTTTCAGCCCCATAAAGGAGCTTACTGAGGACCAATGACTCCAGCAATTGGCAGCGCTTCTGTAGAGGCAAAGCCCAGTTGCGGAAGATCAATTTCCTGTGGTGATTCAACGTAGAGAATGCAATGCCTAAGCGTCTTTTGATTTCATCTCGTTGATCGCATGCGTGGTGAAGAAGTCCACCAAGATGGACGTAGGTTGTGGTCAAGGGCAGATGCATTGTGCCATACTCTGTAACAACTGGCAGGCTTTTCGATGCATGCGGACCAAAGAAGGCCTTCTTCTGCTTTCGGGAACCATGTCCACGAAATGATAGGAGAACCTCAGTCTTGTTCTTGGAAAGATTCGGCGTCATGCCATGCTCAATGCAGAGCTCTAGAAGTCTGCTGGCAACCATGCCAACCTTTTGTACAACTTCGTCTCCCGTAGGGCTCTGCAGGCAGATGGCCAGGTCGTCCATCCAAGTAGGCCCAACAAAATCTGCGAGTGGCAGAGAGCCATGGTCAGGTCGTTCGAAAAGCAATAGTTGTTCGAGTCTGGAGAATGTGCTGAGAAGATCATGCTGTTTCATGAAGTGTTGAAGGCGATGCATAACTCGCGCACAGACGTAGCTGAAAACTATGTCGGCAAATGGGTCACCAGGTCTAGTGCCATGATGGGTCTGGACGACATCTGTTTGATGCTTCATCCAGAAGTGCGTTTGCAAATGCACCGCTCGAACACTTCGTTGTTCCATTTCTGGTAACCCTGCTTCTCGAAGCGCGTGAGGCTCCTCAATGATCTTTCTGAGCTCATGCAAAGCATCATCTTTAAGGTGTGCATGAGGCGGGCAAGCATCTCATCAGTGAGCGGGCCATCCATGCACAGAGGTCTGAGGATGCGGTAGAAAGCTTCCTTGAGGTCGAGCAGGATCACTGCGCATGAGTGTCCTTGTTCTTTCGCTTGGCGCATGTATGCACGTGTCAAATGGAGGCCATATGTTACAGGCATAGCTCTTCTCCCTCCTAGCTGTTGTGCCTGTAGGAAGCTCTCAAAGACATCTGCTTGATGCGTGCGGAGCGTTCGATGAATTGCTTTGCCGATGTGGCTAGAGATCAATAATGATCGAAAGGAGGAGCATTGTTTGGGATCTCCCTTGCCTTTGTATGCTTGGACAAGGAGCCCACCTTTGTGCATCAGGGCCTCATGCCCGAAAAGGCATAACTTCCACATTGCAGCAAAGTTTGCTCTGGCGCATTTCTCCGGCGCATAGTGGCATGTTTCTCCGGAGATGTTGTCCGGACCTGTCGCCTTCCCGCAAGCTACTCTTCTGAATGCTACTTCAAGGTCCACCAATGTTGGCAGTTCATGAGCTTGAACCTGGAAGTGTGCAGGGGTCATTTCATGGAGACTGTTGATCCAGTCCTGCCGGAGCTCTGCCATTGATTGCCGTTGTCCACCTTCCATGTCAGAGAAGAACTGAATCCAAGTCTGCGCAGCCTCTGCTGTGGATCTGCATGGGAGACCGTTCTGGTTGTGGACCATCGGAAGCGTGGTCTTTTTGGCCTTTCTGGGATTTGTCGGTCCTGTGAAATCACGCAACATGTGAAGAATGCTGTGTGCTGCTGTGTGCTCATTGACCATCTCTAGTCTTTGTGTCATGAGCCGTTGTTTGGCTGATTGCAGGTGTGATCTCAATGAGATGCGCAACTTCCTGTAGCCAGCTATGTTGCGCACTTGCGCAATCCTGAGTGTCGAACCGTAGTTGAAGGACTGATCTACTTGTGCTGCAGGAAGTGCGCCGGACCATGCCCTGAAGGTTTTGTAAAGAGCTTCACGAGCGATACCTCTTCGGGTTCGTTTGAGCAGCTTGCGTTGTTGCAGAAGCTGGGTCCGAATGCTCCATGTCTCAGCGTCAATGTAGGCCTTCTTGGGTCTGGATTTGGGTGTGGCACCTGCGACTCGTACGGCCTTCTGTATCTGCTGCCTCACAGTGAGCTCATGCAGCTCAATGTCAGTCTTCCATGAAGGAACCACAATTTCTGCAAGTCGCCCACGAGCATTGTCACGTTGCACAAGGCAGGACCATTCTGTGTCCGCATGTGTTCGTGGTGCCCGTTTGTAGGTCGCGACGACATCCCAATTGAGCTCCAGACCTACGACTTGGTGATCATCACGTGTCGTCGCCAGGTCAAAATCCTCCAAAACCTGTGACCACACACACGATTGCAGCCACGTTGACGGCACGGCGACATAGTCAATGCAATGAAAGGTGTTGCCATCAATTGATGTCCAGGTATGTCTGGGACCATGATGGAGACAAGTAGTGGAGGGTAAACACATTCCAAACTTGGCGAGTGATTCTCGGAAACAAGCTGTGTTGGCTGATGTCTTCAGACCAGATTGATAGACTACCTCGTTGTCGGCTGCACCAGGTGCTGCATTAGCATCAACTAGCCAAAAGCATGGGGCTTCATCCAAATGTTCTAACAAGAGCCCATTGGTGCATTGCCACCATGTTGTTCTCTCTTCCTGAGGCCGCCCTGAATGCGGCCCGTGGCCGACGAAGAACCAGCAAGTCAGAATGAAATGGTCTGCCTTGACTAAGAGGCGTCTAGAGTAGCTGAAAACAACTTGGAACTGGTCTTTGGCAAAGTAAACAGCTTCTCCATCGCGACTGTGGGCAATTGGTTGCTTGAGATTGATCCACAGTTCAACACCTTCATTTCGGTTGCAATGCCCACCAGTCAGCCGCAAGATGTCACAGGAAGTTGTCGTGCACTCCTCTGCCCGACCTTCCTGTATTCCCATGGCATTGAGACCAAATTGTTTC